CCTGAGTCCTTTTGAGCTATCAAAAGTATGCAAGACAAATGCAGCCAAGCCGTGAAGCGAAAAAGGGGAAAAGGAAGAGCTGCCTTTAACTATGCTCCACCTATTCCAACTTCTTGAGGCGAAATTGCCCTTAAACTTTTCTGTCACATTCCAAGCATATCTTGGCCCAAGTTTTCCTGGGCCAATTTCCAGCCTGTTGATTGCCCATTTAGCAGGCTCTTTCTTCCCAGGATCGATACTCTTTCTTCTCGTAAACCCATTAGAGATTGCCCTTTGGTGGAAGAGTTTCTCAACCGGCGATCTACTCGCGGATTCTTTGACAAATTTCAACCCCGTTGATTGCCTTATTAGGCCCTGTAGAAAAACGGATAGCAGGACCCGCGAAAAGAACTCTCGGCGAGTAATTGAATTAAATGGCTGGCGCTGTGGCAAAAAGCAAAGTAAATTAAATAAGTTTTTCATTTTGGCCGCGGCCAAGTTGCATTGTCAACGCCGTCGTCGTCTGAGTCCTGCCGGAGTCCTGCTTTTTTGCTTGCCCGCATTTTACGCTTCGCCGGCGGCCCTTTGTCGGGTCGCCATTGGAGGGGGGTGGAGGGGAGGGCGGATCCCGGCCAGAATGCAATGAGCCAAAAGTTGTTTAATGTATGCATTGCCTTGCCCACCCAACCAGCCGTCCAGTTCAGAGTTGCGGTTAACAGCGCGTCGCAACTTTTGGGGGCCCAAAGTAACTTTTCGCATAGTACGTAAATTTCCGGATTTTTTGCCATGGCTTCCACGTTAATGCTGAGCATACTTTTAGGTAGCTTAGTGGCATTTACACTAATTTCGACTGTGACTCCTCCACGGGGCAATGGTGTGATTTATTTGCCGGAAAAGATTACTTACTCTGGGCTGTGGTTGCCCCACTCAGCTCAACTCGGCGTATTGAGGGAAAGCGTTTTGAGCCACCATTTTGACATGACTCTCTTTGCCTTAGACACTGCCGCTGACAGCGAAATGGAAAAGCTGGAAACTGAAAACGAATTTGTAATTAGTTTTACTGCCAATTTTACTCGGTTGTACTTTGTTCCATTGAGAGTTTTTCGGGTTCAGTTCAGGTTTGTCTTTTAAGTGAAAATTAATTGGAAAACTCGTTGAGAACTCGCTCATTGTGACGAGTTCTCCATGCAAATGAAGGATCTAAGACAGGCTTTTTTCGTGCTCTCTTATTGGGTTAATGTAATGCCTAGTAGAACTCGCCACGGCGGCCTTAAATTATTTCGTGAAAGCCCCTTTCTCGGGTAAGAAGAACAACAAACGTTAATTGAAGTGCACTTCCTTTTAATTTTCAGCCAACAAATTACAGCATATCAACGACATGCACGCCATAAACAAGCTGGCATCGTCCTTCTCACGTTGAGCAACCATTCCTGTTCCTGCTTAATTTCATATTTCGAAACATGACACTTTCACACTTTGGCTAATTTAAAAGCATACAAAATGGTTGGTCGCCACACGCACGAGGAGCTGGCTGCTGATGTTGCCGCTTCCTCGCTTCGTGACGAATGTGCTTTGGAGTCGATGGTGTTGCTGTTGCTGTTGCCGTTGCATGTGGCACACACAAAAGGCTGACAGGGATTCCTTTTCGCGGATACGTGTGTGCAACGATGTCGCTCGTTAAATTGTCGCCTGACACCTCTCGCTAATGTCATCATCATTGTGCCCTTCAACCACTGCCAACTCGGGAGTCTCAGCCACATTATTACTGTAATTATGTTGGCCGTGTAAACGTCATTAGGCGTTTTAGCGGTGGCCAGCGGAACGTGCCCCATTCAGAGTGTTGTTAAATCTCTCTCGACCCAAAATTACAGTGGACAAATTACGGGAACTATTGCATTCAGTCTATTGAATGCTCTACCCCACTCACTGAATCAATTTCACACAATCAAATGGCTTAAATCCATTTTCTCTGGGCATGGTCAAAAAATACGGCCCACCATCAACAGATGGCACTGTGAAAAAGAGAAGAAATGTCCATTACCATTAGGCTGGAATTTATGTGCTAGCATTTTGAATACATTTCGCTGTCGCTGCTTTAATTGATAGATAAAAATTGCTCACCATTAAACAAATGCTGGCCAGGCCAGTCCTGGCCAATTCATTTAGCAATTAAAACAAGCTGCGGCCAAAACGAGCATCGAAAGAAATGTAAGGACCCTACTGAAAAGCAAACTATAAAATGCAAATCAGTTGCATATAAAAATATATATAATTCATTTGTTAAAACCATTTGCCGGCCATTTGCTGGCACAGCGTTTTTTATACGCTGGTGGGACAAGAAATATGTTGTCCTTTTAGGCGTTGACAAATCGGCGCTCACACTCGCGCCTAAAAGTATGCAACAAGCAAAAAGCAGGACGAACGGCAGTAGCAGCAGCACAGATGCAAAGCCAGGAGCCAAAGGCATTGCCGCAGTGAACGTGGCGAGGCGGGAATAATAATTTTTGGCACGACTGCCATGTTAACATGTCCCCAGACACGTACTACCAGCCCCCCTTTCCACCCCTCCCACTTCGCTCCCCTCCACCCATTGAATTCGGTAAACGTTGCATACTTCCCGGCGCGAGTTTATTATGTAAGGGGTTGGGGTTTGGGTGGCATGTATGTCCTGGCTGCATTTCATCGCCCCTGTCCGTGGTCCCCGGGCTTACCGGCTGCCCCTGTGGCTTGTAGAACCATTAGTGAACACGGGTTACTGTGATTACCCCAGGCCCAGTATCCCCACCCCCTCCCCCCTGAAAACCCCCAAAAACCGACAGGTTCACCCTGGGATAGAGTCTTGGCGCAATTTCCATTCGCATTTGCATTCGCATTGAAATATATAAATACGTGCGCGGCTTTTGGGGCGGCAGACAAATTACTTTTTAAATGCACTGTAAGCCCTTCAATTGTAATTGGCCACCGTGCGGTCTGAAACTTTGCCAAAAAAAAAGGGGAAAAAAACCATCCTAGAACCCTAGAAATCGAAGAGAGGCGAAAAACTTTGAGTGAGCCGCATTAAAAAACAATAAAAAATATTTGGGCCGAGGAAAGGCTAAGGACTGTGGGCCCGTCGTCTAATGGCGTCACGTTTGTGCCGCCCCGAAAAGTGGCATGCAACATGCGATTGCTGCCAAAAGTGCCGCCTGGCACGAGTCCAGGAGCCCCAGGACCAAGGACCAAGGACCTCCTCTGGTTAGTTGGCTTGTTAGTTGGCAGCCAGCCTGCTGCCTGTTGCACTTCGCCACTGAGGCACGACTGCGATTCGTTTTGGTTCTGGTTAGGCGTGCTGCCAACTACTCTCGAGTCGGAGTCGGAGTCAGAATCAGAGAGTCCTTTCAAGGATGTGTCTGTGTGCCGTGTTGAATTTTTCATTTCATTTGGCGGCAGCAATTCACTTGAATGGGAATTTCGTGTCGTCGTCCCAGTCTCAGACATTGTCGTCTTCGTCAAGCGGAAACGGAAGTGAACAGGCCAAACAACTGCACATATAGAGCACATAATAAACGTTCAAATTGACTGAATGTCTGCCCCAATCTGAGAGCTCTCAGCGTAATAATTCCCCCAGTGAGCCACACAAATTTTGTATTACTTTTTTTTCTTCAACCCAAGCTTTTTTTGGCCATCAGCCATCAGGCGGCTGACATGAGCCGGGGATTATTAGACAATTAAATTGACGTTAATGAATTAATTTATGAGCTTTTGCGGTGGGGGCCCTGTTGCATAGTTATCCAAGGCCAGAGACAATTAGGGCCACAGATTAGCTTCCCTTAATGGAGGTTTATCGCCTTCGATGGCAGGCAATTGAGGTTGAAATACGTATCACCTACATTTTGATGGACTATTTTGGTGTTTAATCTGCCTTAAGCTTCGGCTACAAATAGCTTGTATGTCAGAGATTGAAATTAATTTTCTTGTGATATGAGAAGCGCTGGCCATGCCGGGTGCTATGTTCAAGGTAGCTCATTAAAACTCATTACACGATATACGCAGCATCTTCAAGCCATGCCAGAGCAAACAGGAATAGTTTCTCCTTGCCAAGGACTTCCCGAACTCCTCGTTGCTTATGGCCTTTTGCATAATCTCAAGTTTCATATTTCATTAATTAAAATTATGTTCAAGGCAGGCCAAATAGCCGTTATACTTGAAGCACCTGTTCGTTCCGTTGTAGTCTCATTAACAGCCCTTCCACACACACACACACACACACACACAGGCAGGGGAGGTGAATTGTGCAACACAATATCATTGTTACTTTGATTAATGATTTGCAAAATCATAAAAGCTTTTCTGCTTCCCTAACACTACCCCCTACCCAACCCCCACCCACTCCATCCATCATCATCAACGGGAAAAAGGTTTCGCATTACAAAAACAGTCCTAATTAATACGAAGCAGAATGTTACCGAATATTGGAAATGCCTATTCAATTCAAGTTGTCATACGTAAGTCGACGCATTTTGTAGCAGAGGAGAAGTGGGGGGGAAACGAAATGTGAAGCCTGCCATTATTATGCTAATTAATTGACATCAAAAGCAAAGAAAATGGAGGAGCCCTGGCCTAGGCCTTTGTTAAACGTATTTATATCAAAATCATTGACAGACGACAATAGAAGGCGACAGTTGCAATAGACGAGCGGAAGGTAGAAGGAGAGCCCATAAGCCGCTTTGAATAGAAATGCAAATTGAAGTGCGCGTATGCCAATTATTTTGATATATATTTTTTGTATATAATTATAATAAGATAATAATGAACAGTCGAACAAAGGAAGCAGGTGCTCCTTTCCACCCCCTCCCCCCCCGTGTTGACAGGTACACAGCTCTGTCATCACAAAATAATGGCCTGTAATAGGATTTCCTGTTCCCCAGAGAAATGGTGAAAGGAAAGCGGAAAAGCCGCCTATAAATATGCAATGCCAGGGCACTCGAACCCACTCCCGACTTCACTTGACTTGACTTGACTCCACTCCACTTATTTTTCAGGGTGCATCCTCCAGCCTGGTCGTTAAATACGCCGACACGGAGAAGGAGCGACAAATACGGCGCATGCAGCAAATGGCCGGTCACATGAACCTGCTGAATCCGTTCGTCTTTAATCAGTTCAGTCCGTATGGCGCCTACGCTCAGGTGAGTCCACCCCCCCTCCCCTCGCCCCTCTTTTGTTGTTACCCGGCCTATATAATCAGCAGCTTCCCTCTCCCCCGGAACTGCAGCAGCAGCAACAGGCCGCCCTGATGGCCGCCGCCGCCACGGCACCGGGCTCCGCCGCCGCCTACATGAACCCCATGGCGGCGCTGGCAACGCAGATACCTCACGGCCTCAACGGCACCGGCCAGCCGCCGTCGCTGCCCTCGCCGACCATGCCCAACTTCAACATGGGCGCCAACACGCCCAACGGACAGCCCGGCGGAGCGGCCGCCGCTGCCGCTGCGGCGGCTGCCGCGGACGGCGTCTTCACGAACGGCATTCCACAAACGGCATTCCCAGGACGTGAGTATTTCTAATTAAACATTAAGCATAAAGCATAAATAGAACATAAATGAAATATTAATATACCATTTTCTTTTGCATTTTTTAAACTTTTAAATTTTGTCATCAAACATTTATCTTTTCATGATTTGTTAGCTAAATATTTTAATTGTCTGTGAAATTACCCTTAAAGTACAATGTTACAAGATTAATGATGGATTCGCAGATTTTTCATATTTTCAAAACGAATGGCAGCTCTGAAACAGTTGGGAGCTTAAAATGTTTATAATTTACAACTTTAAATAGAAGACTGTAATGAAAACAAGAGAGAACGCTATAGTCGAGTGCCTAGACTATTAGATACCCGTTACTCAGCTAAACTACTTAATATAAATATGCCTTCTTGTATGTTTTGCGCCGCTCGAATTAGCACCTTGGCCAGCTGTTCCAAAGTCATCCGTTAGATGGCGCTATTGTACCACGGGCCATGAAAGGCGGAAATGTAGGCGCTAGCCAGCCTTAAGCGTTTAATGGGTTTTTGGGCTTTGGAGTGGGCGTGGCAAACTTTTATTAGGCCAATCGATAGGTATTGACGAAACAAATACATATCAATTAAAATTTTCATAATAGCATCAAAATTGTGGCCACAGCTTGTGGCTTGTGGGCGTCAGAGGGGCGTGGCAGGTAGGAACTCCTAAAATCAACATGCAAAATGCCAATCTTCTAGCTTTTATAGTTTCCGAGATCTCAGCGTTCATACGGACGGACCAACAGACGGACATGGCTAGATCGACTCGGCTAGTGATCCTGAACAAGAATATATATACTTTATAGGGTCGGAAACGCTTCCTTCTACCTGTTACATACTTTTGCATGAATACAATATACCCTTTTACTCTACGAGTAACGGGTATAATTAGAATGATCACTAGGAATCGAGTTCAACAAATAATTCTTTTCAATTTACTTAAAAATAATATTTCTATTGCCATTTGATTTTATTTTATATCATATGTTTTAAGAAACTATAAGTTTTATGTCATGCAAACTACATTTTTTTAATGTTATTTATACCAATCATGTAACTCATGGGGTTTCTAAATATTTTCTATAGCCACTGAACTATTTATTGCAGATCCGCTGCACTTGACTATACCGCCACAAGGTTTGCCAAACGGCGATGCTGCTACCCTGCAACATGCCTTCCCTGGTCTGCCACCGTTTTCAGGAGTTGGTAAGTATTGGCTAGCCAGATTAGAATAAGTTTTACTTCTAAGTATAAGTTCCAAGACACTCTTGGCGGAAAAGGTGCCAATGCACGACAGAATCACCAAATTGCCATTTGCTTTATTTTCAAATATCATTGAGTCCCCACTCGACCAAAAGATTATCATTTCATTTCAATCGCGTTCAGTTTGCCCATGATTTGCATCATTCTTGGCATTGTGTACCATTGTCATCACAATCATTTTCATTGATAGCATCGGATTATGTTCCAATGAACCCAACTACAACAAAAAAACAGCCCGTTCATTCATAACTGTTTTTATCGATTAATTAATAATTGTTGTGTCATGCCATAAATATTTATTGTTAGTAACGTGTTACATAACTCTAACTTAAAAATAATAAACTTCTTATTATTTGTTTTTTGTGCAACGGAAGCTATGTATATATTGTAAATGTTTTTCGACGATCCTCACTTTACAATATATGCTGGCTTGCATTCTTTTGCTTTTATTTTATTCAATTTATTTTTCTATGATTTTGTCAATTTAAATATTTTTAGATATATTTATTACTCAGTGCGCTGATATGAAAACAACGATTCAGTAATCAGCGTAGTGTTCTAACCCTTTTCTGAAATCCGGTCGATCTACTATGGCTGGTTAACGACATTTAGTTTGGTTCTTTAGAAATTTGTTTCATTGTCTGTTGATTACTAAAATATAAGAACTATTTAAAATATTTTAAACATATATATATATATTTATACGTATTCTTAATTGTTGTGTTGTCTTTATAAATGTTTCGGAATTTGTGTAAAAACCAAAAACAAAATTATTTATATATAATGCAGCCTTTCCCACCGTCTATGGACAGTTTCCACAAGCTTTACCACCTCCCCTAGCGGCGGTTGCACCCACTCAGCGTGAAGGTAAGCTTTTCATTATAATTTTGTTAATCACCCCCTATATATCCCCGATATCCCCCCATACACGTTCGTACGTTTGTTTCAGTTCTTGTTAAGCAATATTGCATTTGACCTTATACCAATTTCGAATGATTTCGGGCAAATGCAAATACTTATCTGTTAACATTGTACATGTTTCTCCTGATTCTGGATTTTGTTTCGATTCTTTGTCATCGTAAACATGATATACACATACCCACACACACACTAACACACAAACGGTGAACACTGAGAGAAAAAAAGAGATATCGCCTTCGATCTGGCTGATGATGAGCTGTAATTAATTTTATTTGTTGTGCGGAAGGAAATAAAATTTTAAACAAAAGCCCATAAAAATTAATTACTTTGCATACTGTGTTTCTTGGTCCTTATTTTATTTGCCACCACCCACTGCCAAAAAGTAGAAAGGATGGTTTTAATGGGATGGAATGGGCTCTTTCAACCCTTTTTGTATGGGGTTGGCAAGCAAGGCGTAAATCGTTTTTAATGGCTGCATTCAACGGCATTTTATGCGATCGTAAAAATTACATATAAACTGCTTAAAATCATATAAAGACCGTCGGCGTATTTCGAAGACATTTGCTCATAAAATTTTATGTTTCTCTTTCGGTTCGTTTTGCTCATCTTTTTGCCTTTCGTCAGGGACAGAGATACAAGTAATCCATTGTTTCCCCGTAAAACAAAGTGTGTGGGTGTGGTTGTATCTCTGTGTGTACGTGTGTGTGTGTATGTATGTGTGTGTGGCATATTCATCTGTGTGTGTATACTACCTATATGCTAACTATTAACCTAACTTGAGTGTAAAGTTCGTTTGGTTCCATTTCGATATCTGTGCGCCGTAGTCTGTTGTTTCTCTGTGTATCCTCTAGACCTTACCTGCATGACTTTACACCCAGTCGAACACCCATCTTATTGTGGAGTCCACAATATATCCCTACACATACACATATAATCATACAGAAATTGGGGATAAAGCTAAGCTAAAGACTTAAGTATCCATTAGGCATCTCTAAAGTACATATATGCAAACCCTTTAAGAAGTATGTCATTTAGACTGTTCGTTTGCTCATGGTTTTGATTTTGGTTTCCTATTTTTCGCAGACTTATATTGCGCCTTAGTTTTAGTTAATTCGTTCAGAAACAAGATCAGCCACAGAACACAGACCACAAAATAAGAAATTGATCAGACCAAGACCACAAAATAAGAAATCGATCAGACCAAGTCAAAACTAAATCGAAATCAATGCAAACAATAAAACAAGAACAAGCAAGCAGACAAAACTCATAAATTATATATTATGATTTTCCTCATTATTAAATTTAATTTGTTCTCTACTTTGTTTCTTCTCTTTAAAATGTCTTCCTTTAAGATTTTCTGATGTTCCCAGGATGTTCGATATCCGGACCCGAGGGCTGCAATCTCTTCATCTACCATTTGCCCCAAGAGTTTGGCGATGCCGAGTTAATGCAAATGTTCCTGCCCTTTGGCAATGTGATCAGCTCCAAGGTCTTCATTGATCGTGCTACAAACCAGAGCAAATGTTTCGGTAGTGTGATATTACATAAGGCAGCGAACCCGTATATTCTAACTTACCAACTTTCTTAACAGGTTTTGTTTCATTCGATAATCCCGCCAGCGCTCAAGCGGCCATTCAGGCCATGAATGGCTTCCAGATTGGCATGAAAAGACTGAAAGTTCAATTGAAGCGGCCAAAGGATGCCAGTCGACCCTATTAACAATCGGAGTTCCTTAAACGCAATTCACAACAACAACAACAACAACAAACTGGAGCAACAACATCAGCAACAGCAGCTTTGCCAACAACTAACGCATTTTCCACACCGGCAGCAACTTCCGCATCAACGACAGCGACAACAACAGCAGTCCACTATAATAACCACCTTGGCAGCAGCTTTAGGCCAACTTTAACCAATGGAAACTCCAACCACAATGCCCACATGCCCTACACATTTGCCAGCTGGCGCAGTGGTACCTATTGTTATCACAACCACAACAACAACAACAACAATAATAACGACAACTGCAGCGACAACAACAACAATAGAAACGATCCCGATTCTCAATCCAAAGATCCACCCAATACCAATTGCTCCAAAGTGGAACTAGTCGAGAAACTATTCATGTGGCAACAGCAGAAGCGAAAGGCCTAAGTGCAACACCAACGTCAACCACAACAGCAACCATAACAACTGCAGCTACAATAAGGAGCAACTATTGATGGGGTAAGCAGAAGTCTAGAACCAGCAAGGATCGCAAGGATTAATAAATTTATTGATATCGATCGTAGAAAAGTTGGATTTTAATATTGATACATTACATAAATATTTATAAATGTACTTTGAAATTAAAATTTTACAAAATGTCCGATATTAACAACAATTTGAAATGTTAAAGAGTAATAGGCTTTTCTTTTCGATATACATCCGCCGTTAAAACCCACTTACTCATCATATTGCTTTCCTCTTATTTCAGATGGTCGTCAGCCATGCTATGTGAAAACGATTATATAAATTAAACACATGCAAAGCGTATGTAAAAAAAAAAAATAAAAAATAGTAAACAAGAAAAATGTAAATTAAAAAAAGAAAACACCTTAGAGCTGAAAATTGAATAGATTTATATATATAATATATTTATATATATTTATCCGATTATACATTCAACTGAATGCAGTACACCAGTACATACAAAATAATAAGAGAAAACCAACAAAAAACAAAAAACCACAAACAAAATTATAAAATTGAGAAAAACAGAAAGAATGACAGAATTTTTGCCAAAATATCGATTTAATAAAAGTATATATTTATAGAAGCAAGGAACAAACATTGATATTGATAGTTTTGTTAACAACTAAAGAACAAGAACATTGCACACCAGTACACTCCCACACAGAACACAAAACTTGAGACAAAAACTGACTGGCAAGAGACCAAAATTATCTGGGTTTTCAAAAAAAAAAACAAAAAAACAAAACAATTAAGGACGATAAGAGCAGCAACCATTTTATATGAGTAATTGGTGATGGGAATTTATAAAAATTAACAAATCTGCGCAAGGAAAAAATTAGTTGAAAAACAAAGCAAACACAAAAGAACAACTATTAAAACTGAATTTGTTAATCTAATGATGAACTCGATCGGAGTTTACAGTTAATCGAGTAATTAGAAGGCAGCAGTTAAAGAAAGGGTTAAAATATAGAAGGGACATAGAGGAAGTTAGGTGAGAAAGAAGACAAAGTAGGTCTGCAACTTTTTAGCATTTAGTGGTAAGCAAAATGGCAAAGATTCAACAGATGCATAAACAGATTATATGTACACATGAAAAATTAACACAAAAATTCGAATTTAATTAATTTTAAGTAAAACAAAACGGATATAGGAAGTTAGAACTAGACGGGACAGAGCAAGCCACTTAATATGCGAAATGCTTTGATGGCTATGTCAAACCCAAAAAGGGTTTGATCAGCCTGACCACAAGCAAAAATATCATTTTTTATAATATATAAATGAGTACTAATTTTAGAAATATTATAATATGGATTTGTTAGAACTATTGAAGAGAATCAAAGTGAAGAAAGCTTAAACAAAAATCATTGAAAAGATTTATTAAATACAATATCTACAGCGATCATTTATGTTGGCCTATATTCTCTGAGGGAGAAATTCTTGTACTTGTTTAAACTTCTAAAATTATTTGATTCGATAAATTCGTTTGGTTTAAAATTGTATTAAAAAAATCGTAAACGATTTTAAAGAAAATATAAACAAAATTTTGAATAAAATCAAACAACAACTTTACACTTAAACTTAGCTGCTTTCAACAAAAACAATTACAGGTACTTACAGATATACATGCATATATATATATATATATACATAGAAATATATAATAAAATCAAGAAAAAACAAAACATAAATAAAAACACAAGGAAAAGAAAAACAAATATAAATAGGGCTACTGAAAGAATGGAAAACATAACAAACATTTTGCTATGAAAGTATTACTATTAAAATATATACAAATAGATATACAGAACAGCAGAAAACTGAAAGTTTTGGCCACTTATTTTCACAACCAGCTCCGAGAAAGATACCGATACAGATAATGAATCAGATTCCGATCAAGTTGACCATAGCGCGCCCTAGCCAGACTAAGCAAAACTATTTAACGCTAAGCATATATTAATTATTATTGATTGTTATTATAAACAAAAAATTACCATTAGAATTTTTATCACAGTCAAAAAAGAAAGCAAGTATTTTTTAGCAAAACTAGAGAATTTATCACGGCCTATTAAATTAATTCAATATCCTTTGTTTTGTTTAACACTCTGACATAGGACGACAAAACACCCCCGCACACCCACACTGAAATCTAACTAAATATTATTGTCAATAAAGAACCATTAACGATGAGATCTTTATCCGACATTTACTCAACTGTCTGTTGAATCGAATCTTTAACAATTTAGCAGCAAAATCTGTACAAATGCAAGAATACGAAGAGGAGAAGGACCGAAGAGTCAAATCTACAGCTAAATATGCCAAAAAATAAGATTATGAATAGTGAAAGGATAAAGGATAAAGGAAAGAGGGTGGAGAAAATTAACAATTATTTAGAGTTTGTATAGTGAAAATGATAAGTTTAGAGTCGCCTAGTCTGTGGGTTCTGCAGAGGAATCTTCATCTGCGGAACGTATTTGATACTAAAGATATAAAATTTAAATATTAACAAATATAAATATAAAAAATATAAGAAATATTTAAATATGAAAAGAAAAAATTGTTATCAGAGTTAAAGTTAATTTTGTTACCAGTGCAATAAATACTTTGGTGCAGATACTTATGGGTTCCCTCTCAACCAATATCAATTTCAAACATTTAGTTACAGTTTACATTTCCGTTGTGAGTATTGCCAGTCGGATCACTGAGACAGTATTAGAAATCTGGGCAAAAAGGGATGGGCCAGAGTAAGGGGAAATATTATATTCAAGGTCAAATCAATCTGTTCAATTTTTTCCTCTTTTTAATCACAAAATGTTAAGCCTCGAAAGGAGTAATATTGTAAATATAGAAAATGAAACCTAAAGGCGGATGAAAGTCCCACACTGAGAATAAAGGAATGAACATGAGAACGACACATGCATACAAGTATAATTATATACCTACAAACATACAAGTACATAACATATATGAAAATTATCAAACTGATTTTAGCGCCTATTCAAAAGTAGTTCAGCCAGACACACCCGACAATTTTGACAGCTTTGAATTAAAATGCTAAACTAGAATTTTACTTCGAAAAAACTCATCCAAATACACGAACACTCTACATGTATTTACGATCTTGTATGAATCGATCTAGTCAAATTCAAGTTAATTATTGCATAAAGAAAATTAAACCTTAATGAAGAATAAGAAGTATAAAAACCAAGTCAAACTATTGAGATAATAATAATTTACTATTATTATGTACTATGATTATGATTAACGAATTATGATTTATCTATGTATTGAAAATACGAACACAAGTATTTAAATTAATATATAAAAAAAGAATTATTATAATTATTATTATTATATGCTATTATACAAACATTTTTAGATCATATACACTATACTATGAAACATACGGAATCAAGCAAAATAATACATTTTGTGCTAAACTGATTTTGGCAAAATTATGCAAATTATATACCAAGAGGAAGGATACTAAAACCCTAAATTATCGTAACTATTATTTCTAAAGCATAACACACAATAAACTAAACTAAACCAAGAGAAGCAGAACAAATAAAAGAGAAAACAAATTGAAAAACAAAAATACAAAGCAACCAAACTTGTTTTATTTTCTCATTATTTTCCGCGTCTGTAACATCCGGCTTTTGATTAATTTCAATTGGCAGATACCAGGACAGACTAGGTCACATACCCCCAAAAAACACACCATCCCAACCCGAAACAGAGGACTGAGAATTTGGCATAATCCACTTCCCTCCGATTTAAATATCGCTTACCCATGTTCTCCCTTAAGAATCTTTTGATATAACTAAAAACACAAAAACCAAAACACGAAAAGGGCTGTGACACGAACGTTTAACAAAAAGTGTGAACAAAATCAAATTTATTTATCATTTGCGCTTAGTTTGTTTTTAATGATAATTTTAAAGAGCGGTGATAACAAGCAACCACTAAAGCCAAATCAAAATTAAATCGATAAACGAATAAAAATACAATATTAACGAACAATTAAGTCGCTTAATTCAAATTCGAAATGAAATGTGATGAAAGCAAAAGAAAAAAACAAGAAAACTAAATAAATAATTAACGAAAAAACATGTCGAATTCATATTAAACATTAACGAATAGAAAAAGACAATTGTACCTTGAGCATAAAGTGTAAAAATTGGAACTCGTAAAAATTAAAGTATTCCTAGACATAAACCATAGATAACAACCACATTAACTGAAAATGGACAGGTTTCGCCCATCTCTCTTGAGGGGATATGAAAATTGGCACATTTCTTTGCACGTTTTGCCAAAATCCAGTTTAGTGCCAGAAAACTTCCTTTTAAGCTACAATCTGCATTTAGCGTCGTCATACTCCGCGTTTTCACAGTCTCTCAATTAAAACGCACACACACAACGAACTCACCACCATATACACATCCATCATATCAAATACGCGGATATGCGAACCGTAGTCTATAAATTGGCAGACTTCTCGGCGATTCTCAAAATGCTTAGCTGCCGGCGAAGAGATTTGAAATCGAAGGGACCCCCATTGGCATTGCATTTCCTCCTGATTTGTTCGGTTCTTATGAATTTCCCTTTTTATGTTTAGTAGCCAGCTAAGGATAGCGCTAAACTATGAATAAGCATTGTACATTACTAATGAAAATGAAGTCTCTTATCGATGATCGTTCCTTAAACTTAATCTATATGCGAATAGATTTTGTCCTACGCATAAAGTATTTTTATTATACAAAATGCGAAATGTGGCATTCTTATAGAATGTTTATTACTCTATACAAAGCATTACTAATAAAAACTAACTTCTTTATTTATTATATATACTATACACAAATATATTATATACTAGTTAATGACAAGGTTAGACAAAGTAGTGAATGAAGCTTACAACACTGACACGGAGACAAAATAACATGAACAAACAAGAAGAACAACCAAAAACACTGGAGTCCAAGTTTAGAACTTACTAATCAAAAATATATTTAGATACACTTTTCTGCAGGTATTTAAAAGAAAGTAAAACTAAACTAAAGCTAACGATAACGATAAATAATAAATAGAGACAAGCACTTAACCCCACCATAACCAAGGACTTACCAAAATTGCATACACTAGTTTTCTAACTACACCTACACACGGAACCCACACCCAATCAACACTCGAAAAAACAACACACTGACACCGTTACAAGGGCCCAAAAAGGCAGAAGGACGTAGGGTAGGATTGATAGGAACGGAGGAATGGATAGGGGTGCATATCTTTTTTGCCAAGCCTAAAACATTTTGCCTTTAATATAGCGCATTTTTGGTTTGGTTTTAATAGGAACACAAGAATGACATATTGGATACAGGGTAATACATGCAGTTAAATCTAAATAGTAAACTAATCTTATCAAATAACTATGATAATTTGTAATGATACAAAAACAATTCAATTCATTTTGTATATTATTATTTCCCCCAAAGCTTTCGCACTTTTTTCGATACGATACTTTTAAGCTCGAGTCACACTTTTTCGAAGCTTTGCTTACCAACTAGATTTCGCTTGGATAGGCATAGGGTTAGGATCTTTAGAGTATCATCAACCATGGGCATAGTTGGGACAAGGAAAGGCAGTAGTAGCCGTAGGAATATAACAAAACCAGCAACAATAATTGGCGGCGCTTGTAAGAAAGCTCAGAAAGTGCATTTAAAATACAACAAAAAAATATGAAAACAAAATGAGAAAAGGAGAAATTTAAACATTTTTAAAAGCAGAAACTAGTCGTACTTATATAGACGATATATTATAATACTATTATTATGACAATTATTACTATTACTATAAACAAAGAAAGATTTATTAGCGAGCTAAGGTCAACCAAGCATTATAAACCAATTTTGCAATTATACAAACCGAATCGGATGGAATGATATGAGAGGAATAAGTGTACGGCTGGAGATATTGGCGTTGAAAAGGCCCAAAGTTATTTTTTGTAGATAAAACTGTTATCTTTTAGTACTTAGCCAAATGTTAGATCGAGGTACGAGATACAGAGATATAACTTATGCAGTTGGCAGCAGGCTAATCGAATAAAACCAAATGGTCAAAGCGAATTTATATTGTATATAGAATAAAACCCCTCAAACAGAAACCCGAACCAGAGGGTTGAATTATTGCATATTATTGAAAAAGAAAACTAGTTGCTAGTCTAGATTTTAGCATAAACACACATCAGAGGACACACACACTTACACTTGCAATTTTTTTGAGTGTAGCTTGAGATGCGTTTCAGAAACTATTTCTCAAATGCGTCGAACGATAGCTACAGCTTCTTTGTACACTCTATATACTTTCCGTTTAGAAATCCGTCCGTATTTAGCATTATGCAAACACACACAAACACTCAACACACTCGTAAGCAACGGCTTGTGGTTTTATTTTGATAACTTAGCCTCACTTTTAATTGATTTGCTATTGTCCAAAAATTTGTGTAATTACATTCGTATTTTCCGCTCCCAAGAACAATTCCACACAAATAAAGTTACTTAGCAATGATTACATCAATCCATTATTTGAGATTTTTGAAGAGCACCTTTAACGAAAACAATAAGAAATTAGCAGCAAAATGTGAATGAGAAACACAAACGAAAACTAAAACAAAAACCTAACATTAAAATTCAGCAAATGACATATAAAAATAAGAGAACTTGCACTTAATATTAGTATCATAAATGTAAAGACAGAAAATGCAGATAGAGAATTCGTATCAATTTAATTTAAAGCAAAACCAATTCCAAGAAAGGCAAATACAAAGCATGCTTTTACACCCAACACGATTCGTGATCAGTTCCTTTAAAATCTGTCAAGAGGCATTTCGAAAGTGAAAACAAAAGCAAACGAGACGAAATCAAGAATAACAACACATGAATTAAATGTTAAATGTAAAATGGTTTCAGAATCAAAAAGAATAAAATATAAATAGAGCATAAACAGGATCACTGGCACTATGAGCCCGGAACAGTTCAAGAGTTTTTCTCTAGTCTTTCATTGACCTTGATTTGAATTCTAACATCGAATGCACTTTCTACACAAATCGAGCATTTCTCAATTTACACATTTTTTCAATACATCACAAATGAAACGGAAATATGGGCAGAAACATGCACACAGCTATAACATGCATACTTACGTATATTAAATATGACAAAATTTATATTTACACACATAAATTGCCGAACTAACGAGGAAGATGGTAAAGATGTAATAGTCAAAAGTAGTTGATCGATACTGAAGGAGAACAGACGTGAAGAACAATTAAGTAAATCATTTATAATAGCAACAAAAAGGTCTTTATATAACTATTTATAGAAATATACGCTATATACTATACATATGTGTACATTAAATACAATCTATGAATAATGAAACCAAAATGGCGAAGTGTGTAAAATTGTGCATTCGTTCATTAAAACAAAAGGATGAAAGTAAACACCGAAAAAACAATACAGATATATATCTATATATACTCAATCAGCCTTTTCCGCGATGTTTTGCCACGCGGAAATCGGCTGGAAGCCCACAACACAAGTAAATGCTATCGAACAAGAAAACTATTAATTAATTATGGACAAAACTATAAATATTTTAATACTTAAAGCATTATTAACAGAAGTATATTTTAAACATTATTTATGCGACTTACTGCAGGATACAACATAAATAAACCCAGCATAATAATAGATGAGTACATACTACAGTAACAATAACTACCGATCGATTGAAGAAGCCGCCATTATACTAAAAACCCCCGACACTTATTAATTGTTTTAATCCATTTGTTTCCTTCTTAAGAGCTGCTTTATTCCGGAACACACTGAACCACTAAACCACCATGATAACAACAGAAGCAGTAGGAGCAAAAGCAGATTAGTTAGATATCCAGATAGCGGCGAAGGGCTAACAATAAGGAGAGATGGAGGCATAAATCGTAATAACAGAAATATCAAACACCCTAGTATTAATTATGGCCAGTTTCAAAATATGGGCGAGCAGTGTACATTTTGTTTCGTTTGCCAAAAACTGGGCGTCGCTGGTGGGCGACATAAGCGCATTGATGATAAGCAGATGGGGTGCAGGAAATTGGATATAGAGAACTGGAGGAGATTATAAACCAAGTTATAATTACAACAATTAAATTATTATTAATAATAATTATTATACACAAAAACTTATGCAAATGTGTAATAGGTATATAAACAAAGAACAACTGGCAAGTTAAATAAAACAAAACAAAGCAAAAAAAAACCAAACCAAAAAATTATGAAAAATATAAAAAAAAAATAAACAAAAAAACACAAACCACAAAAAATGCAGAAATATATATATTATATATACTTTATAGACATTTAAACATGAAAACAAAACACAAAGGAGAAACTAAAAAATAAAGTTGCAAATAATAAACTTTTACCATAAAAATATCATTTAGCCGCGTCTTTTTGTATTCTTATTCTTATTCCATCGATATGGCAGGCCTGTCTTAAAAAAATATTGGCCAGCTGGCGAAACTGGCAGAACGAATCGGATTTGAATGGAAGTCGGATTAAACGGCAGTTCGCTTTTTGAAGTCAAGCATTTGCATATACGTTCGCATGCTCAGTTACGAGTTCTAGCCGGCTGATGATGGCTAAAATCGCGCTTTGACGGGAAAATGTTAAGACTTGTGATATACTGAGATAGTCCCAAGGGAATACTATAACCCATATCGGGGGGAGAAGAGTGAACTTGACGCAAGGCCAGACTTAAATCATAGAATTCGCAACTGAAATGCGGGCCAACAAATCGAGCGTGGGCGTTTGAAGTGGCAGTTATGGCCATAAATACAAATATGTACGTTCGCGTAAGCAGGTATTGACTGTGAGTGTCGCTCAATAAACATGCTGGCAGTAGATAGCAGCAGCAGTCGCACAATCGCAGCTGCCGAATAGATGTGCAATATTCAAGAGCTCCGGATCCGTAGGTTGGACGCCGCTGGCCGGTGATGTAAGCTCCGGTTCTGGCTTGCCAATTTACCAACTGCCGATTACCGCCGTCTAACCGCCGTCTGACCGACCGCCCGTAGAATGTAAAGCTTCTGCAGGTCGCGAAAAACTCGCCCACCCACTGCCAGCGGCAAAAGCGTCATCGCTGCACAGTGATCTCTGCGAAGTTCGATCTTGCACGCGATGCGAAACAGTCGAAAGGCGATCGATGGGGAATGCCGTTCCCTCCAGCTGAAAACGGGTAGGTATTGGGTGATCAATAAGGGGTCCCTATCGACTCTGGAAACCCAAATCAGTAGCTTGAAGAACGCCGCCCTAAAAGGCATGTTTTCGCTTTTGGATAGTGGCTAACGTCATTTGTGCTTTGCATTCTGATATTCCGAGTATTAGATTGCGCAGCGGAGAAAGTGATTACAAGTGACTTATTGTTATAACTCTTGAGTCCATGACCTACTGTAACAAGCAGCTAATTTAAAAAGACAATATCATTATCATATTATTTGCGTAAAATAACGATAACAGACTATGGAATACGATGCAACTCAAAAATTAACCAAATCCAATAGCAAATGTATCAGAATTCTTGGCAAATAAGTTGATTTATTTATTTCTTAAAATTAGAACCAAGAAATCTTAACACCAAAAACCGTTTAAGAAATGACCGATCTTCTATCCCGAAAAAAGATACAAATTACCGCACTTCTTTGTACTCTTATTTACCCAAATTAAAATAATTGAGATATTCTGTAGAGGATATCTAATATTTTTTTCTACCTTTGTTATGCCCCAAATAATAATTTCGTTTGGTCAAAATTCAGGAGAAGGTAAAATCCCGATTATTTATAATATTGCAAAAATATCTGAATGACGTACGCTTAAAGTATTAACGGTAAATAAATAAGCTGATATTACAAAAAAAAGGGTTAAGTTAAAATTTTTTTCGATATATTAGTTGATCTATTCTTTCTGTGTACCCACTCCAGGTAGAACCGGAGATGACCTATATTGCCACGTGAGCCGCCCGAAATAGAGGACCCGCCTCGATCCGTTTGTCTATTTCGGGAGGTGTATTTCTTTTCCTTTCCTTTCCCGAAAAATCATAATCCGAAAGAGGCACAGGCGATTCTTAGTTGCCCTAACCCGAAGTAGCAAGGTGCTATAAATAAAATGCCATCAAACTGAGCGATCGCATATACGCGAAGCCACTGAGAATGGGAGACGGAACGAAGGAGGGGGCGGTGATCGAACAGGGGATACCCTCTAGTTTTTGGGAGTGGGACTGTTCCCATTGCAGCCAAGAACTTAAACGAAACCAATTTGTTTTCACCCTGATCTGTTGATACAATAAACAAGCCGACGACGAAGGGCAGGGGAATCGCGAGGCGCACAAACAACAGCCCATGAATGAAAAACTGCTAAAGCAAAAAACATTTTCGAAATTTTTCTTTCATTTTTTTTTTGACTGCCGCGTTCTGCGTAATGTGTGGATTGGATGTTTGTCCGATCGGCCAGAAGGGGTCCGTCTATATGGCCGGCAACAAGTTGGATTTTTCTAAAAATGAACACACACGAAATAGCTTCGTCTTTGGCGTTAAATACAGACCACGACATCCATCGGTGTCGAGCAGCGACAACGCATCTCCGTCGAGGAAAGAGCGGCGGAATTTGATTTGATTTTCACTTGGCCCGCTGCTCACCGTCCGCGCTATTTTCCTCTATTGTGTGTGGGGCGTGCTCTCCGCGGCGGTCCATCTAAGGAGCATATTCCGAAGAAGCGATGCTTTCCGCGACTCGGCTTTCCCGCAACTAGTTGCGTTTTGGATGTCAACACGATGTACACGCGCACAGCGGCGATTCTGGTCAACTGTGGACTGCCAATGGCAGCGTGAAGTGAACTGTGGACTGCGGACTGTGACTTCCAAAAGCAGGTGATTCAGCCTGGGATTACCCGAACATCTTGAGCCAAGACTGAACCGAAGACGGACCCGAAACCGATCCATAGAATTCTACGGGGCACCTTAACCGTACAAAGTTTTAAAAAAAACCGAGGTAATAGCAATTCTCCAGGCCACTCATTGTAATTCTTTGACAGGGAAATTTAGATGCCCTTCGCATCCATTCAGGCCGGGCACTTAGACCTTTTATGGGCATGCTTTTCGGCCCAAGGAATCGAATTTCATGCACAAAAACAACATTTCGGTCTCGGAGCGTATATGTGTTGGCTGAGAGAGCGCCACTTGCCAGTTCCTCTTAGACATTTAAATAGAATTCCCGTGCTGGCCACCGATCGAGAGAGTGAGCAGGCCTCCTCCTCCTCATCCGTGTTTTTCTTCCCCTGCCGGCTATCATCAAAATAACAACACAAACCGAGGGAAAAACGTGTGTTTCTCACGTCGCGTATACGCAATGTATTGCCTTGATTCATATTCACCTAACTCCTCTCTGTTTTCAATACTTTTTATGCAGGATCATTGTTGGTACCACTATGCACTACCTTCTACTTCTCTTTTATCAGAAACTCCTTACCCTTCTTCTACTTTACACATCAGAACCAACATTGCGTATACGCAATATGATTTTTTGATTTCACCAACTAACTATTGAGTCCTTTATTATTTTTCCAGCCAGGATCAGAATGCAGGAGCTGACGAGGGTTTGCGACTTAAACGGCAATACTGGCAAAGGAGATCTAATGCCAGTAGCTCCAGCCACCAATAATTTGGACCAGCTCCTGCCCAACATTAAGCTGGAGCATGATCCTGATCTGGAGTGCTGGCTGCCCACGCCGGAGCATCCACAACTTCGCTTGGACCTTAACAGCACCCGTCTGCTGCTGCAGGGCTCGGACGACCCCCTGATCTCGCATGGCTCCACCAATGATGCCCATGACGAGGACCATCCCTTCAAGACGCTGCTGGCGCGCAAAAGTGCCGGCCATGAAACACCGCATAATGGAACCTGCAGTCCGCTGACCAAGCAGCAACTAAAAGCCAATTTGTTGATGGGAAGCCGGAAAGCAAATAGGCAACTGCAGGAGGAACCCTCAACTCCGTCCCCTCAAAAGACAGTCAAACCAGTTCAAAGCCAAGGGCAAAACCGATCCAGAAAGCGAGGCAACGATGCGGGGGCCATGAAGCTGCGATTCCACCACCAAGCATTGCCGGCGGAGTACGCCGCCCACTACGAGGCAACCCAGGGTCGTCAGCCACCAAGGCAGGTGCTCCCTCCCCCACCACCCCCTCCGAGTCAAGCCCACGAGAACGTGCGCAGCTGGCTGCGGAAGATTGCCGAGATCCAGCGAAGTGCCGAGCGCCAGCAGCAGAAGCCGTCATCCACTCCTCGGACTAATCCTTCAGTCTCGCGATCTTCACCCGTTGCAGCAACGTCGGTGGTGCCAGCTAAGAGCTCCGAGGTAGCCACCGCCTCAAAGAGAAGCTCCTTAAAGTATGCCGATCTTCCCTACATGGGAGAAATCACGCTGGATAACTACAAGCCACGACGTGGTCGGAAACCCAAGAAGGCGGACATCTGCCACCTGATCTACAAAAACTACGGAACCATTGTTCCCGCAGCGGTGGCGGCGATGCCGGTGAGTGCTGCTCCACCGGCGTCAACCTCCACGATCGCTGTGCCACTAGAGGAGCCACTGAATCTCTGCCTGAGAGACCAGAGCGGCGATCGCTTCTCGATCTCCAGCGGCGACAGTGAGAAGCCCACGACGAGGACTACTCCCACAACAACCACGGCAACGACGGATTGTGGCAGCTCCTCTCACCGCACCACACCACTCGGTGCGGTGAAACCCCTGACTTTGGAGCTGGCCGGAAGCGACGATCACCCCATGTCAGCCGCCAAGTTGCTACTGCAACCAGTGGGCCTGTACTACCAGCAGCTGGTGGAGTCCTGCCACCTTGGCGGGATGCCCGTTCCCTTGGAGACCATCGAGAAGGACAACCAGCTCTCCCTTAAGATACCCATACCAAGTGGATTCTTTGCCAACGAGACTGCGCCGCTGGCTATGCGCAAACGCAAGCGGTCGGCCATCTTCATCCCGCCCATGCCCGCGGAGCACTCATCGAGTCCCTCTAACGAGGTGAGCATCTGCAAGTTCAAGTTCACCGGCGGGGCCAAGCCCACGCTGCAGGAGAAGAAGATGCTCTCGGTGGACGCCGAGGGCAACTACCGGTATTACAACGGCACCGGGGACAAGACAATGCGGGGCTATGAGTTCATCTCGCGGGATCAGCAGCAACAACTGCACCAGCAGCAGCAGCAGCAACAGCAGGGTCAAGAGAAGCTCTATGTGGATATACCACCACCCTCGACTGATCTCAGTCCGGAGCTGCTGCACATATCGCCGGAGTCGCCCACGTCAACGCTGCTCCTGCCCAGCAGTAACCACTTGGTGGCCGCCGTGGCGCCACACAGTCCGGTCTCCCAGTGCTCCAGCTCCCAGAGTCCAATGCCAGGAGCAGTGTGTCCGGGCCAGACGCAGGGCAAGTCCTCTTCGGAGAGCGAGCGCAAACGGCGATCCTCGAGGCGATCAAAACAGCGCGAGAAGCTGGAGAAAACCTTCAAGGAAAAGGGCTTTCTCATCCAAACCCAACAGCTGCAGTCCGCCGAAGGTGCCACTTACTGCAAATTCAGACAGCTGAAGAAGTTCACGCGCTACCTTTTTCGCAACTGGAAGGATCACATTCCGGAGAGCGATCTGGCCAAGCACCAGAGCGGTGGACGGGAGGACAACCTGTCCAGTCAGGAGAGCCAGACCGCCAGCCAGGGCACTTAAGCCTTCCCGAAGGAGATCCAGATACCAGCAAACCACAAAGCACTGCCAAAGATTTAGTTTAAGACGAGATGATGGGCGGTCCACCACCGGTGGGCGTTGCCAGTTGAGGGTGAAGCACACCATCCCATGCCGATTCCGTCCATGCGGGCTGCCCAACAACGCGATCAATGATCCTCAGCCACGCTTCCTAGTCGTTCATCAGTTTTTCTAGTGCCTAATGAAATGTTATCGTTAACAAATAAACTCAATGTTTAACCATAAAATGAATTGGTCAATAGATATGTCAAAAATGGGTTAAATTTTAACTTAAAATAACTATCATGAGCTAATTCTTTGCTACCTTTGTATTTGTAAGATCGTAGTATACATAGATAAACAACACCACCATATTTGGTTGTAAAAGGCATCGTAGTTTGTATTTTACAAAATATCCGTCAATACAGTTACGTGTTAGTACAAAAGATAAACTCCAAAATGGGTGATAAGTCTATGGGGGTTATGCTCGCTCTCAAGGTCGTTTCAATGCCATTGCGAATACTTATCGTTATCATGCTTATTCAGAAGATGTCATTGCATCCCGGTTCCAAATTAGACTAAATGTTAGTTACAGTTAATATAAAGATTTACAAAATGTTTGCTGGTATGCTTGGGTTGACGAAAGAATTTTGACTCGAATTCCATCGAAAGATGTGTGGAAGATTGGGCGTGCCCGGATAAATTCTTTCTAATATTGTCGCTTGACTTGTTGATTTGGTTGCTTAATTGGTTCAGGTGGCAGTTCATTCATATGGGGATCCTGGGTTAGACTTGGGCTTACAACTAGAAAACATTATGTTGCATGCAATCGATTTGTGCGTCTTCTGAATTTGTCATTAATTGGAGCTCATTGAGCTCTCATGGTCCTTGGACGTCTCCATCCGAGAGCACTCCGGCACCCTCGCATTCATGGGGCACACGTACTCCGTCCAATCAACTTCGCTTTGGCCCTTTGCGCTCTTGCGACGCTTCAGCGAGAACTGGGTGCGTTTCACTGGCTTTAGCTTAGCAGTTATGCTCAGTGGTTGATAGCCGGGTACCGATTCGGCAGCCCGATTTCTCAAGATCACCGGTCGACCCACCAGCTCCTTAAAGTGCATGGCCAGATGGCGGCGCAGCAGGGACTTGCTTGGCGGTATCGACAGCAAGTCGGCCAGCAGATCCGCATTGAAGCGCGGCTCGTACAGCATTAGAGCTCCGTGGATGCCGGCACCACGCAGATTGGGCGTATACTCGGACAGGTCGATGGTCTGCAACCAGCCCATTATGCGGTGCGCTGTCCACAGCTCCACGTTGTCCCTGTCCGGACTGCCAGAGGGCTCATCCTCGCTGGCCACCTTAATGGAGCGCCGAATTAAACCCTCTGCGTTCCAGGACAAACGGCGCATGCACAAGATTCCCGCTCGTAAAGAGGCTATATGCAGACAGGAGCTAACGTGCAGCTGGGACAGATCCTCCAGCGTAATGCGGTGCAGCATTCGACCATCGACCTTCGCCTGCATAAAATAATCCTTGTACTGTGGCAAGCCAATGTCATCCAGCCAGCGTAAAACCCAGGCCACGTCCAGGTTAGACGCCTTCAATGTTAGGTCGTCGAATTCTTTGCCGGTGATTTCGTCGATAGCCAACTGAATCTTCTTTCGGTGAAGAGGCAGCTTAAGATTGAGTTCTCGTTCAATGTCCACTGGCGATGCGTTGAAGATTGACACAGATGGATTGGCCCTCAGCCATTTTCTGGTGGCGGAAAGCTGATATTGTAATTTTTTTATTGTCATATTTGATGACTCACTCACCGGCAATTGTCCTCGTAGCAACCGAGGCCCATGAAGCCCAGCCAATTGCACACTTCCTGTACATCCCAAGTGGTCCAGTGCTTTTCGTTTTCGCCGAACAACGGCGTCTGGGCACTCCACTCGATACGTCCACCAGCAGTGGCTCTGGAACCGCCTCGCCGAAACTCGGGCTCCGCCTGTTCCAAGGCAGTCAGCTCGCAGTTGCTGCTATTGCTGCGCCTCAGCTTGCCCAGAATGTTTCGCAAGCCACGGGCAGATCGTTCTCGCAGCTTTGGTGAGGGCGTAAACTGCGACATGAAGCTAGAAGTCATGGCATCATCCGCTTGATGAGGACTGTCTTCAATCAGAATTTGTTCATTTGAGGCGAAGGCCACGTTCCGCTGTTTGCCACTGCTGTTCGCATTCACGTCCAAGGCACGGTTGTTATTATTGTTCGCCAGCTTGCCATGGGATCTTGGCAGGCTGTGGAACTGCGGCTTAATCTGATGGCGCAGCGCAGAGGGCGGCGTCTTGGGCGAACCCAAGAAGGCCTTCTGGTTTATGTTGCTCAAGCTGCCGTAGGGAAAGCTCGCGGAAATCACGCATCCATCATTGGCCTCCAAGGCCGTGCGATGCAGCTTCAGTTCACTTAAGGCACTCATCAGCTCTAGCTTCTGTGTCTCGAGAGCGGATCGCGAAATCATTTGGCGCTGCAGTTGCTCCTCCTTGGTGCACAATTGCTGGCTCTTTTCCGTGATAAGGCCCTCCAGCTCGATGATCTTGTCCGCTTGTTCGGACACCCGCTCCGCCAGCATTTGGTACTGCAATGCCAGGCCCTCCTTGTCCCGCTGCAAGCGACGCATACGCTCGTCGGAGTCCTGGCGCGGTATGTGCGTCTCCAGCCAGTCGCTTATGATGGCCGCGGTGACGGGATCGGGGGCTGGAGCAGCCAGGCCGACCTATAATAATAAGCATGTAAGCCCTGGGTTTCTTGGTCTTATCTTATATTGAGAGTGACTCACCTGTTGCAGGGCGAGAGCCAAAGTCTTGGCCGTTGATAGAACATTTGTGGCCGAAATCAAGTTGCGCTCGTTGAGGGTCAGGGAGGCTCCTGCTCCCGACACGGATCCCGCCTGAGTGGCCGTGCTCGATATGAGGCCGTCCATTTGCTGGAGCGCTGCCTCGAGCATTTTGCTGCCCTCCGCCACAGTCGCCATGTAGTCCAAATGTAAGCCTCGCTAATCCCGGGTGATCGATGTTGTGTGACCCTATTGCGCGACTAGTGCATGGTTATGTAAGCAGCTCAGGCAAGGCACGTCATTTCGCATATATTTGTGGCAAAATGGCATCTATGGTTATTAATTTTAGCACTAATTGGGAAAAACTATCACGAAAATAGAAGAGCTGCTGCACCGTTGTGCTTCTTCTTGCATCTACTCTAGCCCATCGATATATCGATAGTCCGCGCCCACACGATACTTCATTGCAGCAACAGTTTCCTAGGGAAGAACATGCCTTGCGATTAATATCGGGAAAAATCGAACAAATCTTTATCAAACAAATACAGAGAATTGTTATTAATCTAAAAGTACTTTAAATACTGTTTTAAGCATACACAATTTTTTAATTTTTAGGAGGTTTCAATATTCTTAATCGGCATTTAATAAATTTAAAGAATTTTATATATAAATTGTTTGCTTTAGGAATTTGTGTAATATGTTTTACTGCTTCTCTCTTTTAAATAATAATATTGGTGCCACACAAATAAAATATTTTAAATATCACTTCACCTTTATGAGATTTTCCAACTTTTGGAAAATTTAAAAATTATCTTCAATATGTGCATAGCTATAAATTTGGACTACCTAGCTGGTATGTACTGTACAAATTTTATACCATCTCTGAGGAACCTATGAGCTGGTGGAGGAGTCACGCAAGATAGGTCATCCCCAACGAATGTCACAACAAAACTAAAATAACGATAAAATAACAAACACACGAAATGAATCGCTTCGCCTATGTGGAGGCACGTCTGAGTTCCCAACGAATCCTTCGTGAGCCGCGACAACAAGGTGAAGATATACGATGGGGACCAAAAGGTAAAGTAGTGAATCCCCCAAACGAAAATCCTGCTTTAACTATAAGTTACAATGATTTCTAGACGGAGTTCGAAGAAGGTGAAATTGTACTTACCACCCACCGACTATTTTGGGGTCGTCCTGGGGAAATAGCCCGGGCCGCCATAACACTTTGCCTGCCACTCAGCTATGTGATATCACTCAGCGAAGAGACGACTGCCTCCAACTTCTTTGGTCGTAAAACACGCATAATTATGCACCTTCGTCCGCCGGCACCGGACAAAGGACCCGGTCCGCTGGACACCAGTCGTGCGACGCACATCAAGTTGTCTGGAAAGAATGGACTTAGCTTAGAGTTTCATAGTGCCCTGCGGGAAACTCTGAATGCCCGCGTTTGGGAGATCCTTCTGACCAGCGAGACCATCATCAACAACGGGGCCAGCAGCCCGACCTCGGAACCCGCCAACGATAGACTGGCTCGCATTCAGAAGAGAACAGGAATCGGTGGCATTGAGCGTCACCTGGAGGCGAAGGCCAAGGCCACGGATGAGAACATAGCCATGGCCTTTCAGGATCTCAGTGTCCTGATGGCCATGGCCAAGGACATGGTGGGAGTGTCCAAGACCATTAGCAATAAGATACGCGAACAAAAAGGCGAGATATCTGACGATGAGACTGTGCGTTTCAAATCCTACCTCATGAGCTTGGGAATCGACGATCCCGTGACACGGGACAACTTTACCAGCAATTCGGCTTACTTTAGCAGCTTGGCCAGACAGATTTGCGAGATGCTCCTAGACCCTATCGAGGTAAGAGTTTAGTTAGTAGGTTATCTGTTATACTCATCCATTTTTTCACCACTTAGGACCAAGGAGGCATGATGTCCTTGGCCGACGTCTACTGCCGTGTGAATCGAGCACGTGGACTGGAGCTGTTGTCACCTGAGGATTTGTTGCACGCCTGCGAGCAGCTTAGTGGTCCCATCCGCCTGCGCAGCTTTCCTAGCGGCGCTAGAGTTCTGCAGCTGGAGTCCCACGATGATGCTCTGATTGCCGTTGACACTTTAGAGAAGGTGGAGGTAGCCGAATCTCTGGCTGTGGAGGAACTGGCCAAGAAGCTCGGAATATCCCTTCTGCTGGCCAAGGAGCGTTTACTGGTTGCCGAGCGTCTGGGTAAGGTGTGCCGAGACGAGTCCGTGGAGGGACTCCGTTTCTATCCTAATCTGCTGCTAAACCGGGACTAATTTAACTGTGAATGTGCTTGTTACTAGATATGCTTAATAAAAAATTATTATATTTTACAATGGTGGCTAAATACTTCACATTGGAATCAACCGAATCTTTATTGTCGCGTTTTGGAAAACTCACAATGAACTCAAATCCTTATTTTTCTCTTAAAAAAATAAAAATAAGGAAACTATAAACTCTAGAAATTCAACTTTGGGTCACCTTTTTACAAGACTAACATGAAAATGGGTCAAACTTTTAATCAACGTTAAAAAGAAAAAATTTGAATGCAGATTTTTAAAGAATCAAACCACAAGTCTAACTCCAAAGACCTCCTTTAAAATCGGCTTAAATATGAAAAAGAAATAGACTATAGGAGTCCAATTGTGGGACACCTTTTTACAAATTAGAAATAACTAACACGAAAATGGTTCAAAATTTTTATCAACGTTAAAAAGAACAAAGAAAGCAACTTTTGATATACCCTTGCAGAATGGTATGTACATTATATTCTCCAAAATTATTCATATGATGCATTCTTAATACCATAAAAACCCAACTTCCTAACTAAAAAACACCAAAGTTATGGCATTTGCAATCGGCAGCTATAGGATATAGTCGGCCGATCCTTATAAATGGATAGGTCGGATTGATTGTCCAAAAATAAAACCCATAGAAAATCCCAACTTCCTAACTTAACAAACACCAAAGTTAGGCATTACCGACAAATCAGTTATATGGCAGCTATAGGATATAGTCGGCCGATCCTAATTTGGTACGTCGGATTGATTAACCAAATATAAAACCCATAGAAAATCCCAGCTTCCTAACTTTAAGAACATCAAAGTTATGGCATTTCCGATCAATCAGTTATATGGCAGCTATAGGATATAGCCGATCCCGGCCGTTCCGACATATATACTGCGCAAAAAATAAGGGTGTGCAAAGTTTCAGTTCGATATCTTTAAAACTGAGAGACTAGTTTGCGTAGAAACAGACAGACGGACAGACAGACGGACAGACAGACGGACAGACAGACGGACAGACAGACGGACATGGCTATATCAACTCGGGAAGTGATCCTGATCAAGAATATATATACTTTATAGGGTCGGAGATGTCTCCTTTGCACACTTTTGACCAAAATTATAATACCCTCTGCAAGGGTATAAAAATTTGAATGCAGATTTTTAAAGAATCAACCCACAAGTCTTTAAAGGGTAAGCCACATTGAAATCTGTTTAAATTTGATAAAGTTATGGACTCTAGAAGTCCAATTGTGGGAAAGCTTTTTAGAAGACATCGGAAACTTACAGACATCGGATAACTAACATGAAAATGGGTCAACGTTAAAATGAACAAGAAAGAAAGCAACTGGCGGAGCCGAAGTTGATATACCCTTCAGAATATTATGTTCATTATATTCTCAAAAATTATTCATATGATGCATTCTTAATACCATAAAAACCCAACTTCCTAACTTTAAAAACACCAAGTTATGGCATTTCCAATCGTTCAGTTATATGGCAGCTATAGGATATAGTCGGCCGATCCTTATGAAATTTGGTAGGTCGGATTGATTGGCCAAATATAACACCCATATAAAATCCTAACTTCCTAACTTTACAAACACCAAAGTTATGGCATTTCCGATCAATCAGTTATATGGCAGCTATAGGATATAGTCGGCCGATCCCGGCCGTTCCGACTTATATACTACGTCAAAGGAAAGAAGGGTGTGCAAAGTTTCAATTCGATAGCTTTAAAACTGAGAGACTAGTTTGCGTAGAAACAGACAGACGGACAGACAGACGGACATGGCTATATCAACTCGGGAGGTGATCCTGATCAAGAATATATATACTTTATAGGGTCGGAGATGTCTCCTTCACTGCGTTGCACACTTTTGACCGAAATTATAATACCCTCTGCAAGGGTATAAAAATTTGAATGCAGATTTTCAGAGAATCGAACCACAAGTCTTCAGTGGTATGCCACTTTGAAATCGTCTTAAGTTTGGTATAGTTATAGACTCTGGAAGTCCAATTGTAGGTGACCTTTTTACAAGTTGTCATAATCATTGAAATAATTAGTATAAAAACGGGTCAAAATTTAGATCATCGTTAAAATGAAAAATTTTAATTCAGATTTTCAGAGAATCGAACCACAAGTCTTTAGATGTATGCCACTTTAAAATCGTCTTAAGTTTGGTAAAGTTATGGACTCTGGAAGTCCACTTGTGGGTGACCTTCTTACAAGTTGTCATAATCATTGAAATAATTAACATAAAAATGAGTCAACATTTTGATCAACGTTAAAAGGAAAATTTTGAATGCAGATTTTCAGAGATTCAAACCACAAGTCTTTAAAGGTATGCCACTTTGAAATCGTTTTAAGTTTGGTAAAGTTATGGACTCTGGAAGTTCAGTTGTGGGTGACACTTTTACAAGTCAACAGAATCTTGAAACTAACAAGAAAATGGGCCAAAAAATTTTTCAACGATAAAAAGACAAATTTGAATGCAGATTTTTAAAGAATTAAACCACGAGTCTTAAGAGGTATGCCACTTTGATATCGGATTAATTTTGGTAAAGTTATGGACTCTCGTAGTCCAATTCAGGGTCCCCTTTTTACAAGTCAACGGAAACTTGAAATAAGTAAAAAAATTGATCAACGATAAAAAGACAAATTTGAATGCAGATTTTTAGAGAATCGAATTTTTAGAGTCTTAATAGGTGTCTCTATCTGAAATCGGCTTAAATTTTTTAAGGCTTGCCCTCTCGAAGTTCGATTGGGTCAAAAACAGGAAATTTAACAAATTGGACGCGATCGTTCCGATGGCAGCTATGTAAACTACACTGCGTTACGAACTTCTGACAAATAACACCTTTTTTCAAGAGCTTATAAATTAAACTCTATTCGGCAAAGATTTTCAAGATCCTGCGAAGCTTTAACCGTTTCGGAATGACAAGAATGATTGGATTTTATAATTCATTTCACACTTTATTGATTAACGCATTTGCTTTGACTTTGTCGGCGCTTCATTATTTTATTTTGGTTTTGTCATAATTTTTACTTTTGCTTAGTATTTCTCAAGAGTTTTCTTCGTAATCAGTTTAATGAAAAGTTTCTACAGTCAGGTATTTTGATAAGCAGTTATTGAATTGAAATTACACATTTATATTAATAGTTGTTTTCGTGTTTACATATATAAATATCTTATGCCGCTGCTTAGATTGCTCCGCATTACATTAATAAATCTTTGAATTACGTTTCAATAACCATTTGATCAGACCACACGTATATCATTATCATGTATATAACTTTCGTACTCAGGTTTTTGGCCAGATCTTTGCGTCGCTTTGCTTGAGTAACATTTTCCCACTTCGTTATGCTTTCAATCATTCATTCGGTTTACGTAGTACCATGTTTTCTTTTTCGTTTATTCTTCTTAAATCACATTTATTATTTAATATTAACATTGAGTAATTTATGCTTGAGTGTGTTGGGTACGGTAGGAAATACGGGTAATGGTGAGGTTAATTTGTGTTTTATTTTCTTGTTCCTTCATGAAGAGGTTTAGTTTTTAGTGTTGTACAGCTGAATCAAACAATGCTAAACAATTACAGCAGAGTAGTAACATAAATAAAATCGTTACTTAAATAAATAAATTCCATCTACAAAAACTGGCTTAGTTGAGAAACAAATTTGTTTAGTCAAAGCGTTACTTTTTACACATTACTCGACTCGCATTCGCAACTTCCTTCGCCCACATTCCTTCAGCTGCTCCTGTCTCTAGTTTCATTGTACATTGCGCTATTACAAATAAATTGTTTAAATAAGTGTTGACTTTTTTGTGTATTTTGTTTTGCTTTTCGTTTTTAATGTTTCTGCAATTGGAAGTACTAAATTGGTTGAGGCTACGAATTGTACATTACAAACTAAAATGTGTTTTTCTCTTCTTTTGTGAACTTAAGCTAAGCAATCGATTAAATAATTAGCAATAATAATTTTAATAGTACAATATGAATATTTGTAATTGCTAAAATGAACCCTTATACTCCGGTCCATATGCTCTCGTAGCTAAACGTAATCGTAATAATTAGAATTTCTTTACAATTAATTTACTTTTTTTCTTGATTTTTCCTCCTCATATTATTGCTTTCCTTTTGTTTTCGGCGACTCCCCTGATTTACAGCTTAAAATTAGCACGCTTATAGAGCTAGTCTTAGGACTTAACGAATTGGAGTTGGGAGCCAAATTGATAGGTGTTCTCGTGTGTAGTTTAAATGGCGATTGGGCGCAGGACATATTGAAACAATTTCCATATATATATATGTAATATATATGCGTATATACAACTAGATAAATATTATTAAGATCTCTACACCTAATTCGTTTTTGCAAAGGGGACACGATTAACACAAGCACAGTCGGTAGAGCCGTGTCCAGGCCCATTCTGGTTCCTGATCCATCTCCTAACTAGGTTGCACAACTATGAGCTGCCATGCTATTGCCCATGCAATTTACACTTACGATTACACATCAAAACATATATAGTTATATGGGTATACAATGTACGATAGTAATGATAGTTAGGAGGTAACCATAAACTATAATATCAAGCAATACACAACGCGTAGCCTTTTACTTGTTCGCTCTAATGCTTCATATCTCAGTTCTCTCGATCATCCACATGCTCTACTTGGTGGCATCGGTGGTGGAGCGCCGTCGATTGACCGCAGCCTGCTGCTGTTGTTGTTGCTGCTGCTGCTGCTGTTTGGCCGCCGCCAGAGCCGTCAGTGTCCTTTGACTGATGGCCCCCGAGGCGGTGGTGGCCCTTCCAGCGATCTGAATGTGCTGCAGCTGTTGCTGTTGCTGCGGCACTTGAACCTGCACTTGGCTTGGACTGGGCAGTGTCTGCGACGAGACCGTGGCGGTGCTCTGCTGGTTGAGTATTCGGTGTTGTTGCTGCAGCTGTTGTTGCTGCTGCTGCTGCACGGGAGCCTTCACCGTCTTTAGTTGTAGCTTCTGCGCAGACATCACAATGGGAGTGGTGTTTAGGCTAGCACTGCTGGTCACCACATTAGCGGCTAGATGTGGAGCAAACAAGTGGGTTTATAAATGGTCGATAAAAACGAATCCAATTCCAACTCACCGTTCACAGGAGTGGTGGCTATCTTGAGCGTGGAGCCCCCGATCTGGCGCTGGGTGGTGATGAGCTGTCGGCTGGCCAATTGCTTGGTGCCCACCACCTGGACGTTGCGGGACCGCGGCTGAATGGTGCCCAACAGCTGGATGGCCGCCGTGCTGCTCCCGCCCGACTGCGCCTGGATCGTCTGCTGCTGCTGCTGGACCGTCTGCTGGGCGATACCTATACCACCACCAACACTTGAGGTACGTATTGTTTGAGGATTTAGTTTCTGTACACCGGCACCGACTATTTGAGCTGTAAGCAGAGAGAGAGCAGAACGTGGGTGTGCGGGGAGATTTTTTTGGTTGTTGTTTTAGGTTGCAATGAGAAATGTCGAAGGTCAGAGGTCGGGGAGCCGCCAACTTGGCGTTAAACCAGTACGAGCAGTATGGTTACACGGCTATGGTTATACATAATGGACTCTCTAATCTCAAACTGATGGCATTTCGGGTTAGGACACACAAGACACATAAATCGGATTGGATTAGTTTAGTTGTATGAGGGATCGAAACGAGTTGTTACAGGGTTTGTGTTGTATGATATGTATGTTGTAAACGAGAAACGAAACAGAAAACAGAAGAGAACAAAATTAAGCATGTTCAATCAAAAGAAAAGAGTTACGTAAAATTAAATATGGTCCGAGTATAAATAAATATTGCATAAAAAAGCCAGATCCAGAGTCACATATATCTCTTCGGCCTGGCCGAAAAGGATGGGCAGCATCCTAAGGAGCGGCCACTGCACTAGATTCGCGTTTTTCTTCTACTCACCAATGGGAAGGGTCAGCATGGCCGTTGTGGCGCCTGTTCCTCCACCGCCGCCGGCATTGCCACTATTGGTGCTTCCCGCCGAGACTCCTCCGCCGGCGTTGTTCGTAATGACCACTGTCTGAGTGCCAGGTCCTGTCGAGGGCAGGCTAACAATGGTGCCCGTTGGTGGGGCGTGTTGCTGCTGGGCCTGCTGATGTTGCTGTTGATGATGAGGCGCCGACTGAGTTTGCAGTGTTATGGTGTGTGGCAGTTGTTGTTGCTGGCTGGAGACGGGCACCGAAACCAGGACACTCCGCTGCTGGCCCTGCGCCGTGCCCGCGCCTGTGGCCGCATTCCCCGCCTGCTGCTGCTGCAAACTGTTCCCGGAGAATTGCAATGAAATGGGCTGCGTAAATCCGGGAATCTGCACCTGGACATTCTGCAGACCGGCAAAGTTAGCCATGGCGCCCTGCAGCTGCGACAGATTGATGCCCTGCAGATTTAGGGTGGCGGTGGTCTGTTGCTGCTGTTGTTGTTGCTGCTGAGGCGAGGCAGACGGCTGCGGATGCGGACTAGACATAGGCGAGTGTATCGAGGAGGTGGCGGGAGAGTGAACGATGGTTTTGGTAATGAACTGCTGCGTTTGCGGTTGCTGCGGCGACATGTGTGGCATGGACACGGCGGACACGTTGGAGGTGACATTGCTAAGGCGCTCCAGCAGCGCTTGGTTTTGGTGCGTCTGCGACGACTGCGAATGATCCGAGCCCGATGGCGAGGGCGTAGCCGCGTTGGTCAGCAAGGCGGACAGTGCTCCGCCACCACCGCCTCCACTCGAGGTGGACGCCAGATTATTGGGCACCGCAAAGCCACTGGCATTCGAGGCGTTCGAATCACTGCCCGGCGATGGGGCCGCCATGCCCACCACAATCGCGTTGGGCGGCGCCGTGGTGCTGTCCCTCCTCAGCGAGCTCAGGATGCGCTGCTGGACTGGACCCGTTGGGCTCTGGATCCAGGCTGCAGCAGCCGCAGCACTGTTCCCCGACGAGATCACTGTGTAACTGGTGGTGGGGTTCGTCATCACCGCCGGCGGCGAGGCCAACTGTGAGGCGAGCGCCGACATGGACACTCTCACTGTTTGACTTCCGTCGCCCGCCTGTTGGTGGTGCGATTGTCCCGCTTGGTTGAGGTTGACCGCTATCAAATTGCCTGCGGAGTTTGTTCGAAACGTTGTCGTGGTGGTACCTCCACCGCCGATCTTTCGATTGGCGTTCAACAAGTTTTGCAGCACCTCGCTGGACTGCTGTTTCCGCTGGGTACTGACCAGCGTGGGCGTGCCACGGGTGGTCTGCACGTAGGTAGCTGTGGCCGCATCCGCGGTGGTCGGAGTCGACGGTTGCTGGTGCTGCACAAGCGTAAGCGTCTGCGGTTGCTGTTGGCCGGTGGAGGTGGTGAACGTTCCACTTGCCACTGGGGTGCTAGTCATGGCAGCTGGAGCACTGTTGAGCAGGTTAAGAATTGATGCGTTGCTTGAGTTTTTGAGTGTTGCAGCATTGTTTCCGTTGTTGTTGTTGCTGCCGCCGGGCACTGCAGCATTGTTGTTATTTGGCGTGTTCCCAGCTGTAAAACACAATTTAAAAACATTTTGTAGACGATCCCCAAGTCAAGAATATGAGCAGAACTTACGTTGATGTTGTTGATGCTGCTGTTGTTGTTGTTGCTGCTGTTGGTATTGGTTGGCAGAGTTCATAATGCTGTTGACTATGGCGTTTATTGCAGGATTCGGATGTATGGCCGTATTGTTGTTCATATTGTTATTGTTGTTGTTGTTGTTACTAGTGGCAGTTGTCTGTTGTTGCTGTTGATGTTGCTTCTGCATAATCTGTTGCTGCTGAAGTTTCAGTTGCGTTTGCTGAGGAAGAAAATACTTTTTAATACAAAACCTTGAAAGCTAAATTAATTATGTTTATATCCTTGTCCTTATTATCTTCCTAGTAGTGGGCATAATTTAATGAATTTACATTTATAATTATTAATTCTCTACTTTTATTTTGAAGGGTGTATCTAACAAGTCCAAGAATACGATATCAAATAATAACACCTCTTAACGAGTGACGATTACACTTGTGTGACAAAAAAATGATTCGACTAATGTAGTCAAGGAGTGTTAAACAAGTTTGTTCACTGTCATCTTTTTTTTTTATATCCTACTTCTGCTTTAGATTTGCAGTCGTAAAGCTGTTCACACGGATTGTTTGGTATCTAATAAACCGCTTATCTCAAATGTTAATTTGGCATTCCCAATCTTTAGTATTTGGATAATTGTTTAACCATTCCAGTTATCTGGGAATGATATGTGGTTATGGGTGTGTATTTATTATATGAGTAATATGTTTTAATATTTTTTGAAGGACTGTCACAAATGTTGGGTTTAGATTGTTCATGCCGAATTGCATTAGACTTTATATCACAGATTGATTTGAGGACATCACTGGTTACCATAAACTTACCAGAATTGGCACATTAGAGTTGAGCTGGGCACGCAACGCGGAATTGGCCCCCACCACCGAAGTGCCCTTCACCTGCTGCTGCTGAATAGTGGCGGGCTGAATGGTTATCCCCGAGTGTTGCAGGGCCTGGGCTAGTTGTTGCGACTGTTGCTGCGGCTGCTGCTGTTGCACCAGGACCAGGGAGCCATTGCTCAGACTAACTTGGTGAGTTGTTGTGGAGGAATTGCTACCGCCGGTGGCCAATTGCTGAAGATGAATGTGTTGCTGCGGCTGCTGTTGTTGCTGCTGTTGCGTTACAATCTGTGTTGGGGCTTGCTGCTGCGGTGCCTCGATTGTGTAGGTTTGCTGCTGCTGCTGCTGTTGCGCCGGTTGCTGCCGAAAGTTTTGCTGTATATTAATAACATTACTTCCGGCCAAATTGAGAGTCTTTTGAGTTATTTGTTGTCGCGGCAATGCCACATGATGCACAGTGGCGGATAACTGCTGTTGCGCTTGTTGTTGTGGCTGCTGTTGCTGTTGTTGCTGCTGCGGTTGTTGTTGTTGTTGTGGCTGCTGCTGTTGCTGTTGCTGCGGATTGGCGACAACCACAACATGCTGCGGCTGCTGCTGTTGTTGTTGCTGCAATTGAGTTTGCCGCTGCTGCTGTTGTTGTTGCTGCTGCTGTTGCTGCAAAAGGATCCGCTGCTCGTTCGTCAATCCCGTGTGGGTTACGATCGGAACATGCCCAGGTATCAAATGCGTGATTTTGACCGCCTTACGCCCCTCCTCGGTGAAGATCTCGCGGAACTGTTGAATGTATCGATTGGCATGCACCCGAGTGCCCAGCGCAAAGCGGCACGACTCGCCGTTCCGCTCGCCCTCGCGATAGTCGCGGTCCACGTACAGCTCGCCGAGATACTCGGCATCGGAGGGGCGCTGGAAGATGGACAGTTTGATGTGGTACAGCGCCCGCCGACCTTCGCTGGCCTCCCGCTCCGTCTCCAGCACGTACTCCTCAATGAGCTGCGGCTGGAAGTTGTGCCGACAGTTGGGCTGGCAGCCTTCCTTGCAGGCCTCGCTGAACTCGTTGAGGGGCTCGAAGGCCTTGGCATACTTCTCCACGCTGATCACGTGTTCGGGCACCTTCAGATTGGCGGGATACTCCAAAGTGGGCGGACGAATGGGCCGGATGACCTCGTGGGGTCGCCGGGGAACCTTGGAGGTGAACGAGGAGAGCATGGCCCCCACCAGCGGATTATTGGTGGGCGCCGTGGCCGGTGTCGCATTACCACCGCCACTGTTGCTCCCCGTTCGAGGTCGCTGGCGCAGACGAGCCAGGTAATCGCACAATTCCAGGCCATGATGGTGGGTAAACTGGTCCAGCTTGCGCTTCCGATTGATGGCCGTCTGTGTGAACTTCTTCATCTGGCGCCGCAGCTCGTGGGAGTTGAAGAGCTGGCGCTGGTGCTGGGCGTTGATGGCCTGCCTCCCTATGCTGGGATCCGGCTCCAGGCACAGCGGCTCCGCCGTGGCCAACACCAGCTGGCTCTCCAGGGCGAGCTTGTCCTCCGCCGGCATCTGGCTGCCCATTTGCTGCACTTCCGCGAAGAGGGTGGCGTTCGTCGGCCTGAGCAGGATGTGCTTCATATCACAGATATTCGTTGAGGTGGCAAACGTCTGGCGGAAGTCGCGGATCTGGGCGATCACGCAGCCCGCGTAGAAGACGCTTGGCTTGGCGTACACCCGTGTCCCCTCACCGTCCGACAAACTGACCGTCTCGGCTCCGAGCAGATCCATTAGAAACTCCGGTAGCATCTCTCGATCGATGCACTGCAGCAGGAGATCGTTTTCGTAGGGCCACCGCAGCACCTCCACTAAGCCAAAGTCGTGCTTGGCCTGTCCCGTCTCCGCCTTGGAGTGGCTCTCATCCAATGTGGGTTTAGAGCGGTTCCGATGATTTCCGGGGCCTGCTCCCAATCCCGCAGCCTCGCTTGTGGCATCGTCTTTGTCGGTGGCGGACCATTCGTTAGTTTGCGGGTTAAGCACCAAATGCTCGTCATAGTGCAGGGCCAGCGAGTATCCCTTGTTGCCGGGATACAGGTTGACCACAATCGTGTTGAGCTTCTCTCGCTCCACCAGCCGCTCCAGGGTGAAGGAACGGGTGCGTTGCTTTAGCTGAAATGTTGAGTAGTTGTAGGTATGATATCTTCTCTTTCATAAATTTTCACTTACCCCTGTCTCGGCAAAATAGTTCAGGTCGTTGCTTAACAATTGTAGATAAAGGTCCTTTATTTTCTCGTGCAGATTGAAGAACTTACTGCTGCCTGACTGGCAGACGGAGGAGGATGAGGAGGGTGGCTTGCTGTTGTTGGAGGAGGCAGCGCCGGCGCCAGCGCGCGCTGATTGCGACGACGATGTGGCCGTGGAGACTGAGGCGGCGGGTAAAGCTGAGCTGCGACTAGAGGAGCTGCACTCCTTGCTACTGCTATTGTTGTTGGACTTTTGGCGCTTGTTTGGCGACGACGTGGGCGAGGCCAGGACATGGTGATTGTGCGTCTGGTGGAGGTGATGATGGTGCAGGTGGTGGCCGCCGCCGCCGCCACTCGCTGTTGAGTTGGCGGAAGGTGGCCGCTTCTCGGACTTCTTGCCGGACGACACACTGACCGCTCCCGTCGAGCTGTTGCTCAGGCTGGAGTTGACGCCCGGCGGCGTGGACAGCAGCAGATCGGGCACCACCGGCGAGGGCGACGTGATGGAGTTAAAGTTCGACAGCGTGGTGGTGGAGGATGAGCACGAGGAGGGCGACGGAGCAATGGCCGTGGGCAGGCCGCTGGGCGTGGCCGAGGTGGGCTCTGTGAGCAGGCCGCCCAGCGAGCCGCCAGTGCCCTCGGTGGGGGACTCGTCGTCATCGAAGATGCAGATTGGCGGCTGGGCAGGAATCTGTGGTATGGCCTGCAGCAGGCTGGTCTCCAAATACGACTTGCTGCTCGAGGAGGCGAACTGCTGCTGCTGCTGGAGGGCAGAATGCAGCTGGTACGTCTGCTGGGGCTGCAGTTGCGGCGAGGACCCGGCCTGGTACTGGACGAACTGCGTCTGGTGGACGCCCGATCCGTGGGCGTGGACCGCTAGTCCCTGGACATGGTCCGAGTTGCTGGAGCCCTTTAACTTCTTGAGCGTGTCATTTATAATAAACTATTGGGGGCGATTAAAATATATTAAAGGGTTAATCAGTTAAATTCCAAAGAGAACAGAGATCTTACGTCGGCTTCTTGGCATGAGGAGTCCAGGCTTTGCATGGTGCCAGCGGATTGCTAGGGGAGTCCCGACGGAGGATGGCGCACCCAATTACCGACGACATCCAAGCGTCAGTTTGTTAGCAATCCTGGTCAGGATCGGCGGCATTCGCATTGCGCTGTGGCAGGTGTGTTTGTTATTGTGTGCCTGTGAGTGTTTTCAGGACTGCAGACGCAGGGCTCCGTAGTTGTTGTCTCCTACTTTCGCTGGCTGCTGCTGCTGCCCATCGGTTACTTTCGCAACACTCACTCGGCCGTGCCGCATCGGGATACGGGTATCCTTGCCCCGGATGGATGCACTGCTTCCAAGGACCGCGAGCACCGAATGGAAACTCTTCTCGTTTCTTCACTCTTTTTCCACTTCCACTGCTGCTGCTGCTTTGCGTGACATTTTCTCTCTCTGCGCCCCTCTGCCGTCGACCCTCTTTTTTGGCGCTGCTATTCCGTAAAAACGCAAGGCTGCTTCTTCTGCTGCGATTACGGGGCGAACGCTGGGCTGCTTCTTTAATAATACGCCGAGGATTGCTCGCTTTTAATTGTTTTAAAACTTTGTTTTATGCTTTTTTGCAATGTAAATGTACTGTACGATTCGTGCCGTGCGAATGCCAACAATCGTTATCGTTCGCTGTGAATGGGACAATCGCCGTTCCGATACTAGTTCATTGGGTTGTTGGCGGTGTGGTCACACTGTCTTCGATACAAAGCGTGCTGTTAGGCGCGCTGTTATCGAACTGTTAACGGTCCAAGCGCCAACTGAAAATTCAAAATTATATAGAACGTAACTTTTTATTTTCCTGTTAATAAAAATAAAACACATTTCGTAGGATTGTTCACTTATGTTTAATAGGTATATTATTAAGGATTAGTCTCTACCAACTAAGCATTAAGAATACAAAATTTTGTCACTTGTACGTATACACTTTGCCATACACATATATCCATATATATATCATAGATCATATATCATATATATCCGCGCTAACCGTTATCAATATTCAATAAAATCATTATATCAGAAACTTGTAATACACTCGCAGTTGAAGAATTTCCGTTCACATCAGCATGAGATCTTTAAACGTTAATTGTGTAGTTTGAAATATTTATAATAAAAACAGCTCTTGAGTTGGATCGTTGAGGATCGGGTGTGTGGATTTGGGTTGGGGGGATCTGTGCGGGTGGGTCTCCTCGAGCGGCGCTCCATCCTACTCCTTGTGCCCGCCCTGCAGCTTCTTCCAGGTGTCGCCCAGCGCCTTGGCAAAGTGGTCGTCCACCGAGGCTTCAGTCTTGGTGAATATCGAGATATTCGTGGACGAGGTGGGCGAGGCGGGCGGCGTCTGCGCCGAGGAGGCGGCCGCAGCCGCCAATCCCGGTTCAGCCTTCACCCGAATGATGGCCGGCATGCTGGGCGTCGGCGTGGGAATCTGCGTGGGCATCGGATTCGAATTCGAATTCGGTGTTGGAGTCGTCGGTGTCGGAGTCGGTGTCAAAGTCGGCGTCGTCACAGCAGCAGTTCCTGGTGTCCCATAAGCCGGTGGCGGCGGCGGCGTATTGTATCGGGGCGGCGTGTGATGGGGCGTGTCCAGGATCCGCTTGGCGGCCACCGCTGCCTCCATCACTTGGCTGACGGCCGCGGGTAGCGCCGGTCCCGATCCTGTGGCCGAGGGCGGCGGCGATGGCGGCGTTTGGGTGCGATGCAGTGCCAGCGAGAGTGGCAGAGGTTCCTCCTGCGGCGGCGGCAGTTCCGGCTGTTCGGATTCCAGCTCCAGAATGACCAATCCCGGCTTGGCCAGCGGCGAACGGTGCTGCTGGTAGAGTTGTGCTGTGGCTGCTGCTGCTGTGCTGGTTGACGATGCAGGCGGTCCATAGGCCAGCGGCGAGACCTGCTGCTTGGGCGTGCCACATGGCGAGGGCGTGGGTGTGGGCGTGGGCGTCGGCGACTTCTTGACGAACAGGGCCGCATAGTCCTCGCCCAGCGAGCGCCGGAAGTGCTCGTCAATGTCGCACATAGCTACGTCTGAAAGGAGGCAATAAAAGCAGGTGGTTAGTGGGATAGTTAGCACGACTGCATGCATAGCTTCTCACCTGAGGAGTGGGCCTGCTCGGGAGGTTCCCGCTTTGGGGGCGCCTGGGTGATGACGCTGGGTCGGCTGTTGGCCGCGTAGTTGGTCCCAGGCAAGGGTTCGCGATAAGGCGGCGGCGGCGAGGCACGCAGCTTGAGCGCTCCCGATGTCACCGACATGTCAATGGGGCTGTCCATGTCGCGGTCCTCCCGCTCCCGCTCCCTATCGCTGCTCCCTGCCTCGTGCACCTGGTACTCGGCGGTCCGCTGGCGACGCTCGCGTCTCCACTTGGTGGTGGGCAGCTCTTTGGCCGTCACACGCATCTCTGCAAGGAAAAACGAAACGTTGGGGGTCAGAAACCGATTGCTGGGAAACGAGTTAACCTTTTGGCCATCTCCCTGAGTACACTAATAAAAAAGACTTGGTAAATCCAAGTATTTCATACTATAATTTATATTTTGCTTTGATTTTCATCATTAGCTGTTTTTAGTTGTTTAAAATATGAATATATATAAATATGTTTAATATTTCTTTTGATTATTTTCCAAATAGATTTAAAGATCTAAAATTTAAAATTTTAATTTAAACCAAATTATTGTAAGTAAAATTATAATATTAAATAAAATGCATTTTAAATTGCATTAAATCATGCATTTTAAATTACATTAAATCATGCAATTTAAAATGCATTTTCAACTGGTATTATAAGTAAGAATAAAACAAATTGATTAAAATCCTGAAATTTAATATGCATTTTGTTTAATATTGTGCATTTTATTTAATATTAAGATTTTATATAGTTTAAATATGAAATTCTGGATTCAATTAAATTTCTTGATCAGTGTAGCACTAGTCAATCTAATATTATACCAAAATCGCATTTCAATTAAAAGTCATAAATTTGATTTGGCTTTGTGGTTGATTTGGATTTTTGTCTGGCTAGCGATCCACTCCTCGGTGCGGTTTACGTGTCTGTCGTCGTGGTTTCGATTATGCGGTCGCTGAGTGGGCGTAATGAATCACATGGAGTTGTGGCGAGGCGACTTGAGGCGAGGCTGACTCTACAAAGGTTCTCCTCCGCCCCATCCCCTCGTGGATCCAAGTCTCCACCTCCCCCGTTGCCTGCGAGTTTGTTGCCTAAGTCTTTCGCTTTTTTGAATGAACTTCTGCCAAAAGCTTTAAAGAGTGGTGGTCATGAGGGGGACGGGGGAGGAAGGGTGGAGGAGCAGCTCAGGCAGCACAGAAATTATGCACAAGAAGACGTAGCCGTCACCAGCAAAAACAGAAAAAATAAAAATAAAAAACGGCACACACACAATCGAGCAAATAAATAATAACAACAGAAAGCACACAATCGAAACTCCAAGGCACAAACAAAATTGGTTACGAAAACTCGTTTGCTCTACGCTTTTTTCAGACAGTGTGTGTGCGTGTGTTAAAGTCTGGGCCTGGCCTACACTGAGCGAATTGCAGGACAGGAACGTGCCCGGCCTGCCAATGGGCGATTGCTGGCGTGGGAAGCGGCCAAAACGAGCGTGGGCATCCCGTCGGGATGAAAGATCTCCGATCCGCTCGAGGTGCTGCTCAGTGTAGCCAAGAGAGCTGGCCAGGAAACGGGGTTTATAAATAAAGCAAGAGGCAGCGGGAAGCCAGGTCCCAGAACCCAGTTTCGCGGCCGATATCGAAGGGGCAGCAGGCAAACCAGTCGGGCGACTTCTGCACATTTCGAGCAGCGCAGAGAGCCTGATCGGAGCAGGAGGAGGAGTACGTCCACCGATCCAGGCATGAATGAATGAATGAATGGCTGGGATGGTTGGAGGCGTTTGGCGTTGGCGGAGCAGGCGGAGGCGGGAGCGTTGTCCTGTTTTTGGCAACGTCACTGCGGGCCTGCCATTTATTACTTCTTCTGCGTCCGGACTCCTCGGGCAACCACAAACCGCGAGGCAGAGGAACTCGAGCCCCAGCCGAGTGAGTGGTACCCAGCCGAAGAAGCCGAAACTGGTCTGGTTGGAGTGGAGTGGAGTGGAGTGGAGCAAGAGGAGGAGTTGCAGCAGGCGGAGAGATACTAAACAAAAAAAACCAACAAACACGGAGGCTGGGAGCGAACTTCGGCTGGGGCTCAAGCGGATGATGATGGGGATGATGATAATAATAAAGAAACATTCAAATTTTATTGCACATTTCCGGTCGTCGGACGTCGCCGTTGCCGTCTGTTGGGGGATCGGCAAATCGACAGGGTAAAACAACAACAACAACGACGACGGTGAAGCTTTCTTTTTGAGGCTCAAGCTCCCCCTCTTTCGCGGATTGTGGTCTGTGTTTCTCCCTATCTCACCTTCGCCGCCGCCACCGCTTTTTTCAGCATCCTCTTCTGCATTGTTTATTTGTTCTGCTGCCTTTTTTCTTTTTGCTGCGAGCGTTTTAATCATTTCTGTATCGGCTAATTGGCGATAAAGGGGAGCCCGGCCTAATGGGAATCCGATTCCGAATTGGGGGAGTTCGTAACGGAGCTTGTGAAGGGAAAAATCCATGATTTAGGCAAGGGAACTTCAAGGGGCTCTCGAACGTTTTAAAAAAGTTGTGAAAATCAACAGCAATGATATCGTCTATATCTATCTATATATCAATTAAACCACTGCTCCATAAAGAGGGAGCCTAGCTAGGACTCTTAAAAATCAATTAAAGCAATCAGGAACGATTCAGTTCCGGTGGCAAACTAAATAAAATATTGGAGAATCCCTTCAAAATAGGCTTTGTGGTTGTTTAATCTGTTCGAAAAAAACAAAAGTGGTTAGGTTATAAATATAAAAACCAAAGGTTAAGTCATTAAGTATCTAATCTTTATAAATAATGCTACAGAATTTAGCGTTTGCGGTGTATTTTCTTGGGAATAAAAAAAGGTTCCATCTTGTTTATTTTACTTCAAAAATCCCCATACCTAAATTTATATAAGTACAAAACATTGCATTAGATAGCGAATCTTGTAAACTGTTTAATAAAACAAGTTTATTGAAATAATTTAACGCAAAAGAATCATGTTGCTATTAAAAAGGAATAATCTCTGATGAACCATTAAGAAATATAACAATATTGAAAATCGTATTAATTCTTTGATTACATTTCTCAAGAGGTTTCCTTACTTGACTTTTTTTAAGGAAAACTATTTATAAGAAAACTTTCCGATTGCCTAATAAAAAGAGGGCTTAAAATGCTTGTCTAGATAGTAGAACACGTTATTTCGATTAAAATGCTGTATAATAATTGTGAGCCACACATTTCACAATTTCCGGTCGCGGGAAGCAATCTTAAACGTCTTCTGAGGTGATATATCAGCTGAGGAGCGATTCGAAAGCCGGCCCAGTCAGATCCCAAAAAATCTGGTTCGGGTTCAAAACAACATAGGGAACTTCAGAAAGAGAGGGGCGGAGGCGGAAGGAAAGAGACGGGGCGAGAGTGACAAAACTGAAGCCGCCGACTTGCATGCTTATATGGCTTGGATTGTACTACAAATAGCAATGGGAACAGCAACAACACATCGCATTTGTGGCTTATGCAAACAAGTTGTTGCTGCTCTGGTTGTTGTTGCTGTTGTTGTTGTTGCTGCTGTTGCCTTTGTAGCTTTGTATACATATTTATTTATCCATCATAGTCGTCGTCGCCGCCGTCGCAGGCGTTTTTCATTATTTATATTTTTTCTCGCGCCGGCTCGTGAGTCATGCCCGTAACCACGGATCCCCAAACCCCAATCCCCAAATCCCCCATCTCCGATCGCCGATCTCCGACTGGCCGAGTTTCCGCTATACCCGCATTACCCGCTGGCCGAGTTGATTGCAAATCTGGTTTTAATATGTCAACAAATTAACAAAAGCAAAATAAAACCGAGTCGAGCCAAGCACAGCAGCTACAAACCCCCAGTCAGACCCCCACCTCATCATCATCCATTTATTTTTTTTTTTTATGGAGGTTTAATGTTTAAACAGGCGCTCATTTTTTGCTCTTTTCTCGGACTGTTTTTCCTCTGCTTTTTTCTTTTTTCTTTTTAATTTTTTGTGTTTGCCTGGCGTCGCCATGTAATTGAAAGCATTTGTGTGATTTGTGCAATGTCGCCAATTAACGCCGGCAAACTGGTGTGAGTTTTTGTTTGCCAATCCGAAGCCAATCGAATGCGACGCCGGCGGTGCGGAGCGCAGTAAAAGTGTTGCCAATTTCATTACCAATTTTCCAGTTGGCACAAGCACACAACCAGCCGAATGGAGACGCCATCGATATGGTCTCGCAGCCGGCGTGACCGATTGTCGCCGTGTTGCCAATCTCAATTCCAACACCGATCCCAATAGCAATCCCCCCAATCCAACCCAATGCCGTCGTCATCACGTCCACGTCCTGGCCACACGCTGCCCGCCAAGATAAAGCGAGGCGAATCGGACTGGAGCGAGCCGCTTCCGATACCCGATCCCATTCATCGGGGGAGTGAGTGAGTGGGTGAGTGCTTATCATGGCCAGAGGAAAGGGCACGTTCGCCGATCCATTGAACTTCAGCACGGATCGGGGCACTGAGTGTGGACTTCACGTGGGCAGCAGGTGCATAAACGTGGTCTCAGCTATCCCCACAAATCACTTTCAACTGAACTTTGCCTGCACCCCCATAGATAATACATAATTTATTATGTTGTGACCTAGAACTTCGGTCAACCATTTCAGCTTTTAGTTTGCTTCATAAGCTAAACATCACACGAAAGTGAGAGGAATTATTCCTTCATAACTACTTAAACATCCGAATTGTTTGTAATATTTTAAGGTTTTTGAAAAGCATCACATGTGCCTGAAGTTTACTTAATAAGTAATAATAATCTATTAACATACAGCCTCAATATTTGCCTTTTGTAAGCACATAGATTAATGTTTGAAAACCGGATGCAATAAACGACTATATCCTGTACTTGTTATAGGAATATTCGTGCAAATTAACATATCCGTGGTTTTTAATATTTTGAAGCTTAAAATGAGTTTTATAGGATCTCTTGCTAGCATAAGAAATAATTAACGGCATTTTAGTTTTTAGAGGCAATTGCATCATAGCATTTGTATTAACGTCTATAGCTGATATATGAGTATTTTTATGCCCCAATCAAAATATGTAGACTATATCCTATATGTGGATTATGTAAAGACGATAGGACGCAATGACTTGTTATTATTTCAAGAATCTGAGTATTGGCACTTGAGAAGGTAGTGACTAAAGTTTGTGTTTTATATACATAAATCAAAGATTTCATTTCCGATCATTGGCCAGTTTAAGACATGTACCCTATTTAACTGGTTCTTAAAGTAAACAAAGGAATGGGTATACGTAATTTAATAAGAAGCGGTATTATAATACTCCTAGATTTATCTGCCCCAAACAAAGTTAGTACTATATAGATCATACGAACATAACAGTTGGGCTGGTTATACCCGTTACTCGTAGAGTAAAAGGGTATATTGTATTCGTGCAAAAGTATGTAACAGCTAGAAGGAAGCGTTTCCGACCCTATAAAGTATATATATTCTTGATCAGGATCACTAGCCGAGTCGATCTAGCCATGTCCGTCTGTCCGTCTGTCCGTCTGTCCGTCTGTCCGTCTGTCTGTCCGTCTGTCTGTAGCTGTCTGTCTGTCCGTATGAACGCGAGATCTCGGAAACTATAAAAGCTAGAAGATTGGCATTTGCATGTAGATTTTAGAAGTTCCTACGCAGCGCAAGTTTGTTTCAAAATGGTGCCACGCCCCCTTTAACGCCCACAATCGCTTATATACGATTTTAAAAATTTAAATATTTCGGAAAAGTAAAAATGCAGTTTTATTGTGTTTATCAATACCTATCGAAATGTAGAAGAAATTTTTCAAATCGGACCATTAGTTAAAAAGTTATTCGTGATCAAAGTTTCTATCTCCATCTCCCTCGCACTCCCTTTACCTGAGTAACGGGTATCTGATAGTCGGGGCACCCGACTATAGCGTTCTCTCTTGTTTTTGATTGAAGTTCCTACCAATGAATCTGTTTTATTTATTTATTTTACTTTACTTTTAAGCGTTGCATTTCCCAAAGGTGTCACTATTTATAATAGTGAAACAAATAAAGTTATGTAATATAACTATGAACTTTAAAACAGACGTCAACGCGATCAAAGCGGAACTGATATATTGACACGATGACGTTATGCTAAATTAGATCGACAAATATTAAACTAGGGCTATTCCTATGCCACTGTGGCCTTCTTATATTCAATCAACCTAATGAATTGTTTGCAAATGTCGCAGGTAAGATCACCAGTATGTGAGACTTTCGCCCTTTTTTCAGAGGTCAGTCTGTCAGGGGGGGTCTTTGCTCTTTCGCAAGTCATTTCTTTTGAAGTTTCCCTCACAAAACGAACCTTTGTGCAACTGCTGCTGCTGCTGCCTGTACAGCTGATGATGCATGGCTGCCGCCTGCTGGAGATCCCGCCAGGGCTGCCATAGCAAACTATTGGCCATCGAGGAGGCGTTGGGATCGGCGGCTGTCGGCGGATGCTGCTGCTGATGGCCGGACTCCGCCTGCAACGATTGCTGCAATTGCAGCTGCTCCAGCTGCTGGCGGTGGAGGTGGTGATGATGATGATGCTGCTGCTGTTGCTGCTGCTGGTGATGGTAGAACATGGCCCCCTGGCCCTGGGATCCTACCCCTGGTCCATGGCCCCCCTGATAAGCGGCCAACCGTTGAGTGGCCGCCAGGGCAGCGGCTGCCTGGGCCACTTCCCTGGCCGACGAACTGGGCGGCGAACTGGCCGTGGACGAGGCGGACGAGGATGTGGACGGCCCACTCAAGCAGGATGCCGAGGATGTGGAGGCCGTGGAGCAGGCTGATGATGCAGATGAGGCGGGGGATGCAGCTGCTGCGGCGGCGGCGGCCAAACGCTCTATTTCCTTAATCCGGTTGTAGTAATTCTGCTCGAAGGCATTCAGTATGCAAAGATATTCCATGGTTCTGCTAGATTCTCAATTTGATTCTCGGCGATCGGTGGTCGGTTATTGGTGATTGGTGATCGGTGCTCGGGTGCTTCCTGCTCAATCCAGATCTGCGGGATCTCTGATCCTCTCACATCGCTGCCGCCCAAAAGCCGACTCAGCTGATTCGCGGCGAATCACAAATCACTACCTATTTTTTTGTTTTCGGGGGGAGGGCGCGTATCTGTCTATCAGTAGTTGTGCTCCACGGAGGCTGGGGAGCGGCAGTCTTTTTATTTATTTGTCTTTCTTTCCCTTCCAGTTTATGATTACTTTTTTTTGCGCTCGGCCGCAGATACAGATACACGAATGTGCGCACACAAAACGAGCCGCAAGTCGCGACTATAGATACAGATACAATCTGTTTCTGTTTGTCTGTTTTTTCTGGGCTTTTTTCTTTTCTTTTTATTTTATTTTGTTTTTTTTTTTTTTGCAGCAGCAGCTCGCAAAACGGCGGGCGACTCGGGTTACAGTCTCTCGCAAGTTGAAACGGAGACTTTGGCTGTGCTCCGGCGACGTGAGCCGCAAGTCGACATTTAGCGAAATAAAAATAGCACGCTCTTTTTTCTGGCTGTGTCTTTTGTTGTTACGGCGGCTCTGTCTCCAACTCTGACTCTGACTCTGTGTTTCTTTTCCGAGTAATGATTTGCATAGAAATCGACAAATCGCCGACTGAACTTGAGCGCCAGTTTTCGCTTTCAGACTGGGGGGCAATCACACACACACGAACCGATCTGGACGCACGTACCACAACAGCGGTGGCAAACTATAGCTTCTCGAGCAAAAAAATATATCAGTAGCAAAAGCTGCTATAGCAATAGCAATAGCAAAAGGAACTGAAACTGAAACTAAAACCAAAACCGAAACTGAAACAGCAACGCGACACCGAACTGGCGGCTTCCACGGACAAACTCGAACTGATCGCGTCGGCGAACGGCGACTTGAAGATTGCGACTGGGGCTTGTTATTATATGGGGGCTTTCGAAGCTCCGACTTCGACCGACTTCGACCGAGTCTTCCAGTCTTCGGTTTCTGCGCGGGCCCTCGTCTTTTGCTCGCTCAAAGTCTCCACATGGGTCGTTCGGTTTTGGGGGTACTCAAGTCTGTAGACTTGGGGCCTTTCCGAGCCATTTGCACTTGCGCCAGTTGACGTCCCTTGTTGTTTTTCTTTCATTTCTCCTCTTACCAATTTCCGTTTCGACTCTTGTTTGGCGGCCCTCTTTCTCTCCAGCGGTTCGGTTCGCTTCGTTCTCGACGGATTTCGGATCTGCGCTTGCTTTTGGTGATTTGGTAATTGAAAAAGTACAACTGCAAGCTAACTGGGGACAGGGAAAGAGGGGACTGTTTGTCTGTCTATCTGCCCCGTCCGTAGGATGTGGCTGCCACGCCCCGTTGCCCCATTGATGCTTGGCAAATTGGGCAAAAGGGTAACGAAATGGCAGCAATTGGGAATTGGCCACAGTCCGGAGGAAACCCGCAGTTTGGTAGGAAACTGGGACTTGGGTAGGGCACATGGTGTGGGCGTTCTTTCATGTTTTCCTCAACGCTCTTTTGTTTTGGGGGCCGGTCACTGCATTGGGCTCATTATAATGTTTACTCAGAGTTTTGTTCGTTTGTAGCTGCGTGCAAAAACTACCTACGTTTGGGTGATTGCCGTGTGTGTTTGTGTGTGTGGACTGCAAGCGGGCTTGCGAAAATGACAACCAACCAGGAAAACGAGGGTTAGGCTGGCACACACCGACAATAGAATACCTAGAAGTCCTTAGTGTCAACCAAAAACTGCAGTGACATTCAAAACAATTCATTAGACCTCCAAGAGCTCACAGGTAATTTTTACTCCTATAATCTCTTTTCGGAAAATATCGGGGGTAGTAAAAACTAAGGGTTTATTTAGCATATGAAAAATATGCGCCTTTTTGTTTAACAACTGGCTTTCAATGCCTCTATCATAGAAATTAAAAGTGCTCCAACCAATTCCCTTTGATCAATAGAATATCTTTAATATTCTAAATATTTAAGATGCAATTATTGCAATTATTATTTAAGATGTTTTATTGCCCTTATAGGATCTTTTGGATAGTCCAAAAAATATAATTCTACAACATTACAAAACTAAACTTCGTTAAATTCTCAATTTTTTGCTCGGAATATTTTGCCAAATGTAATCTCGAATAAAAAGATTATCATTTCCGTCAAATCTTGAAAACATAATTAGCATAGAATGGGAAACAAATAAGTAAGAGGTTAAAAATGTACTATCGCTTATTTTTTCCAAAAATAAAAACAAACCCAGTCCTGATTATACATATTTATAAAGATTTGCTAAGAACTACATACATAAATTCAGTAATTCAACGAAAACGATTTACATTTTTGTGCGCCCGATTGCGGAAACTCTGAGCACGTATTCTAAAAAGTTTTTCTAGAGCTAAAAATTATTTCTTTAGGTAAGGTCAGCACACAATAAAGTTTGAAATAATATTCATATAATAATATCGCTTAATGATTTCTTTTAAAATTAAATGAAATTACTTTTGTGTGGATCTTTCTTGATAATTCCTCTGAGTTTTCTCAAGATTTTTGGAATATATAAGAGACTCTTGATCAATGGGATCCTGATGCGAATATCCCTAAATTCAATGGCTGTATCCTATTTGTTTTGACAAAAAAAAATATATATGTTTCCCTTAAGTATAGTTAATAGAACCGATTTATTAGCAATATCCAGCAATCAATCCGCTCCAATTAGGCCAAATTCGATAAACTCAAAAACAGTTGATTCCACAAATCAATGCAAATAGCTGTGGGACAAAGCTCATCACATAGCCAAAATGTTCGCTGCCGCGTTTGCGTTTGTTATTGGAAGCAAACAACAATAGGTCGACGGTGCTACACGTTTGCGGCTGCTTTGGGGCTTGGCTCTGTTTGGCTTAGTTCAGGCTATGGCAATCGGTCGGACCGTCCGTCTTTCAGTCCGTCGGAACAGCAGCAACAGCAACAGCAACAGCAGTTACCATTGCTGCAACTGCAACTTGGCGGCAAGAAAAACGGCACAGAAGCAGCGGCAGAAAGCAGAAAAGCAATAGCAACACGGTGGAAACTCGTTTCTAATTCAATAGCAGGCCCATGAAATTTTACGCCCGATTTGTAGTACAACCACTACTGTTGTCGGTTGCCCCATGAATATTGCTACTGCAACTGCAGGAGGCGAGTGGCGAGTGGACTGGAGTCGATGGCTCCACATCGCCGTTGTGCTGATCATATGGCCCGACTTGGCCTGCCCCGAACCGACTTGCACAAGCTCAGCTGTTGATCTCGCGCCATCCGATCGATCGATCGATCGATGTTTCTCCGCCTATGGTTTTCCTTTCCACCATCTTTCACCATCATCGCTATCGCTCGTTTGCTAATCCCAGTCACAAAATGGGTAATTTCAACCCAACAAAATCGAAAAATGTAACAAAATCCAGCTGAAACTATTGACTGACTGGGTAATGGATTGATTGAGTGCTCCTAGGCTTTGGCGCTTACTCATCATCCGGCGAACGAGCGCGGCTCCGAGCTGTTTGTTGTGCGCGAAAATTTGTATTGTAGCGTGAAACATGCGCACGCATGCGCAACGAGGTCAATCGAATGGCAATCATGGCAAAAAACACAGCAATACGAGTAAAAAAACAATGACAACAACGGAATCAACAGACTTTGGGGCAGAAGACTCCACTGGCTGGGCCAAAACAATGGCAACAAATTACCGAAATCCAAACACAGTAGACCAAAGTAATGTAAGAAGGCGCAAAAACGAAACAAGCCGAGTGGGTAAACTTGACTTGGGGATAAAAGGTAGAGCCCAAATGATGCGGGCATGCTTACAGAAGTCAAATAGAAATCCCCTCACTAATGAAGGGTACAGCTGCTGCTAATGAAGTTCTACATTTAATGATAAGTCCCTTAGCAAAAATATGTTTTTCCAGGAAAACCAAGTAATCATACTTCATTACGTATTTTTTTCCACATTATCTTCCGTAAATAATGAAAGTCCCCTGACTGTTTTTAAATACTTGCATTTAGGGCTAGTGAACTTTTACGGACAATAACAACTTCCTTAACCACAACATTGCGATTGTAATACGAATTATTTATAAAATATATGTTTAATCGAAGTTACACATTCAATGATGAATCCCGCAATTACAGAATTATTGTGGTAATATATATTATGTTTTAATGACAAATTTTTATTTTGTCTTCTTTACAAAAATGACTTCTTTATCTCATTCTTTAGGGACAGGTTACTCAAACACAGATTTACCAAAAATCTTTTCCATTCTGTGACACTGGCTGAATGACAAGCTAAGCAGCAATTTAATATTGCTCCATTGATTCGACGATTTGAAGAAAACAGAACACAAACAGAAACAAAACTCCGGAAAATGCTTTGCTAATTGAAATTTGTTGAGTTGTTTGGAAATCGGCACAGAAACATGAGATCCCTTGCCGGGCAATTTGGGTCAGTATAGTGGCAGTGCGGAAGTCACCGAAATCTAACTTCTTTATGGGAGATCTGCTGCTTTATAGATCGCACAGATGATGATGACACATACACTGATGAGGCGAGGTGGCCGGCAATTTCCAGAACTTGTCGATACCAACAAGACAAATTATGTTATATCTTAACCGCAGTCCCAGTTTGTGAAATCTAACAATCTAATATATGTATATATCTAGTGGGTACATAATATATACGCAGCGGAGACAACACAAATCAGCGGCAAACCAGTTCAAAATTTAAATAAAACTCGAGCGTGCGCGCGATTTGAAGAGAAACTGGTTTTCGATTGCCCAGAACAGCAACAAAAACAATACGAGACAACGGCAGCAGCGATGGCAAATAGCAAAACTAACAATAACATAAATATAGTTGTCATTATAAAATATCATCCGGTGCTAAATCAAGCGTGAGAAAAATCCCAATACATTTTTGCCGAATTTCGTATCGTATCGTATCGGAATCTATGGTTCGCTCTAGCGAATCCCAGTAGATTTCGTAAATATAGATGGCCAGAACTTGCCGTGTTTGTGAGACAACTTTCATTTCGATATTGTCCGCAACAAGTTGATTCTGCCGCTGCATCTCTGGCACCTCTTCCTGTCCAGAGTTTACTGGCAAAAGTCGCGCAGAGTGAAAATTTATGGCAAATAGGCAAATGTTATGTTTAAATAAATAAATAGCAGTCGCTCGGCGGCAGCAGCAAGCAGCATCAGCATCAGCACTAGTAAAAAGAAAGGTAATGCTCTAGTCCCAATCTGTGTCCCATCCACATCCACATCCACATCCCCATTCCCATCCGAGCCGATCCAACCCAATACCAACCCATCCCATCCCATCCAATCCCAGTGCCAGGCCATCGCAATAACAAACCCAAACTGGTTTTCCTGCTGGATTTAACTCCTCTGGTCGAGATTTGCGGCAATTATGCGCACCGTTTGGCCATTGCCAGTAAAAGGAAGAGAGTGTTGGCCCACAGAGTTGGCACTGGCACTGGCACTTGGCTAAAACGGAGAATTGAAAGGCCATGTAAATTACCTGATGAGCCGTCCCGTTCCGTCCTCCGCCCCCCTCCCCCCACCAAACTATGACCAACCAAACGGTTGGTGTCCGTCTCCAGCTGCGCTTGGCCAAGCTCGAAATTGCCACAATTTTTCTTTTGTGCCCAGCTAGGCAGGCCTCAATTTGTGTAACTATTTGTTTATTAATTATGGCCTGGCCATACAGTTTGCTCCTCGGCAAACAATGGAAGGGCCGCTTAATTAACGGCCGCTCCGATCGATCGACCCGCTTTTCTACGTGTGATTTATGAAGATCCAGAATCCGAGTGCCTCGTTCGATTATGACAAATTCATTAATCATGCGCAGGTTAACGACATTTTGCATTTTGCCTGCTGCCGATCAATCATCAAATCGCTCATCTTCGCTAACTCGCAAAAGCGAAACAAGAGTCTACCTTTGAGGCCGCTGCATTGAGAACTCAATTGTTGGCCAATTGTCCATTTCCATGGCCAAAAAGAAAAAAAAAAGCGAACAAACCGCCAGCGAATCGCGTGCGCTGTTCAAATATTTATTCGAGCATCGGAACCATTTCTCTTTCTGTGTCGGCGTGGGCTATCTCATAAATTCTCCTCGGTGTGTTGACAGCTGGTACGCATATATATCGGCCGAGGAATTTGTCAAATATTCAGAATTATAGCTGATAATGCCGTTTCCCAATGGGTAAATAAACAGAAAGAGAAACAAGCGTAAACATAAATTGGGGCTATTATCGGAATTCCATGGCTGGCCACATGATTTGCATGTTATCAGAGCATTTCGGGGGGTTGCTTGGAGCGAAATCAAAATCAAAGCCCAAACAGGCCGCCGAGGGTCGTGTGCTTATCGCTTATCGTTTATAATAATGTGCAATTACCCGCTCGCTTGCCCACTCAGAACATGCCTAATCAAAAAGTGTGTTGTTTTTTTTTTGTTTAACAATTATACCCATATTTGCGACCCAGAGAATACGAATTCTATATGGTGAGAGCTCTACGCCGGCCATTTCTTTGGCATGTCACGCGGTCGAGTCGCTTGTTTGTCGCTCTGGGTGGCGGTGGGCAGAGAATGCAAATTGCAAATGGCAAATGTATAAAAGATATGTCGCCAGAACACAAATATGCAATGCCCGTACGAATGCAAACGCCCATCCACAGCAACAGCAACAGCAACAGCCACATTCACA